TCTGTCTGTCTGTCTGTCTGTCTGTCTGTCTGTCTGTCTGTCTGTCTGTCTGTCTGTCTGTCTGTCTGTCTGTCTGTCTGACTGTCTGTCTGTCTTTCTGACTGTCTGTCTGTCTGACTGTCTGTCTGTCTGACTGTCTGTCTGTCAGACTTTTTGTCTGTCAGACTGTCTGTCTGTCTGTCAGACTGTCTGTCTGTCTGTCAGACTGTCTGTCTGTCTGGCTGTCTGTCTGTCTGTCTGTCTGTCTGTTAGACTGTCTGTCTGTCTCTGACCGGCAATACGATATTCATTATTGCTCGACGTCTTGCTGTCATCGTTGGTTTATGACTAATATTCTTCGAAAAAAGTTCACAGCTGCATGCCGACCTACTTATCCTTTATTTCCAAAATCATCTACCAGAAGTCAGACTGCCTGACTGTCTCTGGGACGATAATCCGATATTCATTATTGCACGACGTCTTGCTATCATTCGTATATTTTATGACTAATACTCAGCGAAAACGGTTACCGGAAATTTGGTTGAAAAAATTTCGCCGACGAAAAATTGATCGATGGAAATTTGATCGAACGGAAATTAGGTCGAATTCTTTTTTCAGTTCACACGATCTAATTTTGCGTCAAACTTCTGTTTGAACGCATGGGATATCTATAGAACTAGTATAACCAAATAATTTTTGTGATGACATACCTATCGAATTGTGACGAATTTGTGATGATGTGGCATCCCTTTTAATCCACCCTCTCAACATTCATAAGATCCACTATCATGGGCATGGGCATGGGCATGGACGGGCGCAATAATAATAGATTTCCTTGACGCCATTAACACCTAACCCTTGGTCTATTTCAATCACTGTTTCTTTCTTTAACAATATGAATTAAAGAAATAGATTAAGAGTTGTTTAAAATAAAGGCCACTGATCACAATTAATAAGGCCTATTCTTTTTTCTTTGCTTCTTTCCTCTTTTAATTATTAAAAAAACCACACAAAAAAAACCGTGATTAACTTTTTTCTAGATACTAGTAAGGCTAAGTAGGCTACCGGGTACATGACACGATATGTAGATTGTAGTTGACCCTTGTCTACTCTGGTTAAATGGATAAAATTGTATTGCTATTTCTATTTTTATTTCACTTTCAAATCTGGAAAAACTTTTTAAAATTATAAATATCATATTTCATTGATGATCCATTAATTTGACGAAATGATGTTCTATTTCTAAAACGGAAATGACGTATTTTTTTAATATAAATAGTATTACCAACAAATCAACAATCAAAATGGCTGCCCTCTTTGGTCACGGTAACCCACTTTCTACACAAGTTGGACAGTTGATAGGTATGTCAGTGTGTGTTTCAAACTAACATATGTATATAAGATGTTATTTTAACACTATTAAACAGTCAGTTAATTAGTTAGCAACTGGAAGTGCTTGTTTAGAATAAAAACTAAATAAGTCACTGCCGAGTGAGTCAGTCAAAATCAATGAATGCAATTTCGCCATTTCGGCAAGTTATTTAAGTTTAAGTAATAGTAATTGTAATCATTCATTCAGACACTCAAAAAACAAAAGCCTTCAAAATCATCCTATCCTAGCACACTCATACATTTTGCCCTAGCAATATCTCTATATAGCTGTAGCAACACATGCAACCTACAGGGCCGGCTCAAGGCCAAGGCGGGTATGATGATCATCACACAGGCAAAATTTGTTTAAGTTAAAATTTTAAAAAATTTGGCTGATGCAGAGAATTGGTGCCATTTAGGGATACTTTTGGGGTTCAGGTTTTAGGGTTCAGGTTAGGTTTAGGGATACATATGGCTTTTGCCAAGAGTTTTCTCACCCTAAGCGCAGTGACATCACATTCATGATTCATTGGGCTTGGGGCTGGGGAATCCCAACACCGGACTTAGGGTGAATAGATCTATTCTTTGAAGGACCCGAACAATGTGTGTTATAACATTCCTGTTCTTTATTGAGAATTACTCGCTTCATAAACGTTACGGCTACTATGAAGTATATTGAAATGAAATTTTCCATTAATTTGTATTAAAATTCAACTTACACGTTTCAAAAGAAAGGAAAAAAGAAACACATCCTTGCTTATACCCCAAGACCCAACACGGGGGAAAAAAAGACGCCCACCAAAATTGCTGTATTTTGATTAGTTGAAATTAAAATACCCAGATGTTGAAACTTAGGTAACAAACCCCTCCCCTCGCTTTGAATACCAAAATATAAATAAGAAACATAGACCCCTCCCCAGTATCCCTCCCCAATTTAGCTAGAAATATAAAATAAGAAAACAATAACTTGCATTTTGTAAATACAAACATAGAAATATTTTTAGTGTGGCACTGTAGATGGAAATGGAAGTGGGGGAACCTCCGTGACCTATTTACCATGGAACACATCACCTGCCTTACTGCTAACTCAAAATCAGCCCACTAAGGGTTCAGGTTAGGTTTAGTGACAGTGAATTGTAAAATTTCGTTGCAACCAAAATGTCAGTTGTGTGACACGTCATGGCACCAAATGACTGCATTTGCCCAAAAAACTATTTCTGAACCCTTCCCATAATTTTCCAGAGGACGACAATTGCCTATTTTCACCCAATCTAAAAATGTCTAGCGATGGTCCTGAACACGCTCTACAGAAAGATACACTTGGTTATAATATGTGCTAGTAGTGTTCAACAAAGATGAAATTGGTGTTGTTATAAAGCTTATAGCTAGCCCTTCCAAATTATGTATCACTCAGGGCAATCGGATAATATTTAAATTTTGTGTCAAAGTACCTATTTACTTGTATTCTTTAATAATAATAGTTAACTAATACTGAATTACTTTTAAAATTTTTTAATTGATTTCTAAAGCGTCTTTATACATCACGCAAACAAAGTTACATAGCCCCATTTGTTTTTGTAATCACCTATAAGTTAGAATGCTAAACGAAATTTTCAAACTGTAGGCATGTTCACAAAAAAGAAAGAAATGCTGGAAACAAAAATAGGTGGGGGGGTTGAACTTAGATGTTCCGTATTGGGATAGGGGCCAAACATTTGTGTTTTTTTCTTATATGAGATGTATAATTATAATTCCAAAGAAAGGCTCCTGCACTGCATGGGTGAATGGATCTAGATCAGGGGTGGCCTACATGAGGCCCGCATGATTTCACTGGAAAAAGGGATCCAATTGGGATCAGGATCCCATCATGATCCCACCGGGAAACTAGATGCTTTCAGAAAACGGGATCTGAATCCCATCGGGAAACGAAAGGTTAACAAAAGTTATTATATGTGTTAATATAGGAGACAAAATAATTATTTTATTTTTTTACGATAGCGGTGTTTTTTGTTTGTTTTTTTTTTTGTTGTCCACATTTCACTTAATATCAATGTGAATTAAAAGGCAGTAGCAGATGTTTTTTTTCTTCTGATTGCAATTCAGTGCAACATCTGGTATTTTGGCCAACATTTATTTTAATGCAGATACATCCAATTGGGCAGCTTTTATAACGTATCTTTGAACACAGTTACATACTGTCATCAGTATGGAGAAATTAATCTCTTATTTGATTGCAATAGTACACAACAAAAGATGATACCAAAGGATAAATACAATAACAAAGAATACGATACTCAAACCAGGGCTAATTACGATTAATAGGTTTTATGAAGTTAATTATAAACTACAAAATTAAAAAGAAATATAATTAAAGCTACTGACTTACAGAATAATGTTTTTCCTGTACCGGTACAATGTTGAACAAAACACAATGTGCAAAAAGGGTACAATGGGGAAAAGAAATCTACACACATACAGTAAACAAAGCTCTCTAGCAAAAATAGCACACATTCAAAAACTCACGTCTCTCATCTGAATCTGCCCCCTGTCGCTCAATTTTGGCTTATATAGTCTTTTTCATAGATTACGCAAAGTAATCGTCTCTCAGACGTTCCACATAATTCTACAAGGTTCTAAGAATAAAAGAATTGATTGTAGCTAATGGTAGCCGAGGTCAAAAGAATATAATTTGTTAGCCACATCTTAATAATAGCGCAGTCAAATTTTGGGGTCAGCTAGAGTTCAAAGCATGGGGAAATATGATGTAAACACGTTGTCTACATAACAACACAGAAGAGTTATCCTTGATTTACACAATGGCTCCGTAATAAACAAAAGATTCATGAAAAATGAACTTTTTTAATTCTTGTAAAATTAGTTCAATTGTTGTTGAATTTAAAAAAATTTGATTTTACTTTAACTTTAACAAATTTTTTTAATAAAGAATTCACTAAAGTTTACACACGAAAATACTAGATTGGATCAGAAGTAATATACGCACCTGAACTGCACTTTTACCACCAAACTAACTCCTGTTATTTCGCACACTTTCTATTTTGCTATTCTCACACTTGACTTGTTTCTTCAGTTCACTCATAATTCTTGTGTTACCAAAACTAACTGAGTGATAATACGTTACATTGGGAAATGGCGTCGGTGGGCTGTCGAGCGCATGCTCTTAAAACAACCCCCCCCCCCCTGGCCGACTCTCCCGAGGTTTTGGGCGGGTTTTCTTCCACTCCGGGGGAATGGTGTGGTGTTACCACCCCCCACAGCCCAGGGAGTCTTTCAGTCAGGACAAAAGCTGGGACGAAAAGGTTGCCTAGGAACAGCTTTCTCACGGCTGCGTAGCTAGAATCATTGGCATGGGTTTTAACATAATACAAGTGTGACAATACAAGTAATGAAATGTTTTGAGAAAATTCTGAAAGAAATTTTGAATGAAGTACAGCAAAAACTTGACCCCCATCGATTTGTGTACAAACCTCCCAGAAGTACGGAGGATGCAATCTTACTTTTGTTGGAGATACTTAACCATCACCTTGACAGTCCTAAAACATATGCCAGAGTGCTTTTCTTAGACTTCTCATCAGCATTTAACACTATCCAACCACACCTTATGATAAAGAAACTTTCCTCATTAGGTGTCAATTTAAATATTCAGGCTTGGATACTGAACTTTTTAACAAATCAACCACAATATGTCAAGGTAAATAACCAATTATCTCTAACCAGAGAAATAAGCACCGAGCACCACAGGGCTGCGCTCTCTCCCCTGTACTGTATACAATATATACCATTGTTATTCAAAGCTGAAGCGACACCATTCCAATCTTAAAATTTGCTGATGATACCTCGATTGTTGGCTTAATATCTGAAGGAGAAGGCCTATACCGCAACTTATTTACAAGCTTTACCAATTGGTGCGATGAAAATTTTCTCCAGCTGAATGTTTCAAAAAAAAGGAAGTGTTTGTTGATTTCAGATCTCAACATCAAAAAATGAAAATGTAGAGAAAGTGGACGCATACAAGTACTTTGGTGTCATCATTAGTAATAAGCTATGTTTGAAATAATTTATTATAATTTCTTGTGTTCAAATTGTTTTATTTATGTGCTGAAAATGTATAATGCAATGATAAAACATTTCCATTTGTTTGGATCAATAAAAGAATCTTATCTTATACTATACTATACTGTCTAACTGTCCATATTTACCTTAACTTAAACTCATAAATTGTTTTTAATGCCTAGACATTTGGTAATATTTCATTTTAAAGGGAATTTTAATGAATAGTTTGAAATAACTTAATGGATTTTTGAGTATTTGTCAGTGTCACCTAACTGATTTTGACCTTTTTCTATAAGAAGAACCCCTCAATAACAGAAGAGGTTTCCTTAGACCTACAGACCGAAAATGTTGCAGTAAATGATAAAAGATGTCAAGAGTTTAATTTTTTTTGGTTCTAGCACAATTGGTTAAACGGCTGTTGTTGAGGTACAGAAAGACCGTTTCTGAATAAATAAAGTCCTATAACATCACTCTTTAGAAAAAGAATGCAGTATAGTCTATACTTGTTCTAAATCCAGTTATCTTGTGTACATTTATAACTCCCTCCTAATCCAACCCTATAAATAATTTGATTGTGTACACAGTTATAAAGAAAATTTTTTTTTAAAATCCAGACTTAAAAAATTTTTTTATCACGCGAGAAAAAGATTTGAAAACTAAAAAAACATAGAGTATAATGTATATGACAGGTACTCTCATGGCACATCTAACCTTGTTGACTATTTCCAAAAAATGGATGATTGCCGCTTCCAAAGAAATATGTGGTCTCCTTGTGTCTTTCCCTGCATGTATTCAGCTATCAATATCATTTAATGTGTTTGTGAGAGGCATATCACATTATGAAAGTCTAATAACTAGTATTAAATATAGGTCAAATGCTGGTACTAATAAAAGTATAGTGGCTGTGACCTTTAACAAAAATTGGTTTTAACTGCTGCTATGATCTTATAAATATTACATTCTGACATTTCATTATTCACTGTAGGTACTTCGAAACTCCCTTAGCACTTCCAATCATAGCAATCGCAAAATGTAATCCAATTTTCCACACAGCTTTACTGTGACTTAAGTTAATATTTTTTTTGCTCATTGTTTTCTATAATTCAGTCAGTTTCGCTACAGATAATTATAAAAATCTCATTTGACCCACTCATAAGCCTCATTTATGAAATATAAAGAAAATCCTGGCTGACTCCCCCAAAAAGTCATATTTGCTTGACCCTCTTCCGGCAAGGCTGTTGTACGAATGTTTAGATGAAAAAGTCCCGATAATAACTAATATCATAAATCAGTCTTTAAAATCTGGTATTGTTCCATCTTCTTTTAAAGAGGCGGTTGTAACTCCACTGCTAAAAAAGGCGAATCACGACCCAAATGTGTTGGAAAATTATGGCCCGTCTCTAATCTTCCATTTGTATCTAAGATTTTGGAGAGTCGTTCTCCGCCAGCTCCTGAATCACCTCATTCAGTGTGACTTGTTTGAGCCTTTCCAGTCAGCATACAGGGTGCATCACTCTACCAAGACAGCCCTGTTGCGCATCGTAAATGACCTTCTGTCATCTTGTGTCGAGGGCAAGATATCGCTTTTGTCGCTACTCGATCTATCGGCTGCGTTCGACACGCTTGACCACGGCATACTTCTCCAACGTCTGGAAAATACATTCGGTTTCACCGATACCGTCCTGAAATGGTTCCTTTCGCATCTAACAAATCGAAGCAATCTTTCATCGAATTCGGAGTACCCCAGGGCTGGGTCCAAGGCCCGGTGCTTTTCACAATGTACGTTCAGCCCGTGGGTTCAGTGATCAAGCAGTTTGACATGCTTTATCACATGTTCGCGGATGACACCCAACTTCGGCAATCTGTGATCCCCTCTCAGTTCCCTCAGGTTCTTAGTATGACACAGAAGACAGTGGAGTTAGTTAAGCACTGGATGACTATAAACAAGCTTAAACTGAATGATGAGAAGACCGAGCTGATCCCCATTGCTACCGCTCAAAAGCTAAAATATATAAATAACACATAAACCCTTACTCTCTCAGGTATACAGATTGCATTTGCTGAAACAGTGCGAAACCTGGGTGTCTATTTAGACATAACATTGGAAAATCACATTAACATGCTTTGCAAGGCGATTTTTCTAGAGCTGTGCAGAATTAGTCATATCAGACCTTTCTTAACGTTAGATGCATCAAAGAAGCTGATGTCTGCAATAGTGCTATCACGCATGGACTACTGCAATGCTCTTATGGTGGGTCTTCCAGCTACGCTCCTAGATAAAATTAAAAAAGCACAGAATAATGCGGCTCGAATTGTTCTTCGCAAACTCAAATTTGACCATGCTGAAACACTTCTGAGAGAGTTGCATTGGCTGCTGGTCCCAGCTCGCATAGAGTACAAAATTGCAACTCTGTGCTACCGCTGCTTGCATGACCTGTCACCGTCCTATCTCAAAGAGCTTCTGACGCCTTATGTACACACTAGACCACTCAACTCATCTGATAGTGGCAAACTCTCGATACCACATGTTCGCCTTGAGACTTACGAGGGGCGTACTTTCGCATTTTCTGGCCCAACAATTTGGAACACCCTTCCTGTCGCTCTCAGAAACTACACTGGAGTCTTTCAAAACTGATTTGAAGACATATCAATTTCACAAACACCTGCTGGGATGATGTTGCCTATCTAGCTATTATCTTGTGGATGTGTATTGGCCTGTGTTGTTTATGGTTGTTAGGTATGAAAGACTTAGAATGGATATTTTCATATGAAGTTTTTGTAATGTTGCATTTTGTATTTCAATGTGGTATATTATAGATTGTTTCATTTCTCTTTTAATATACTAGACTATGTACCGTGTTTGGAGCCTTTGGGGATGAAGCATGATTTTTCAAAGAAACTTTATTATTATTATTATTAAATAGGGTAATAATAATAGGTTTTAACAGAATACACTTTTTTTTCTATTTGTATAGAATTTTGGACAAAGGTTTTACAGAATATTTTAATATACTTTTAGACAAAAGTATTAAAAGAATTGCAACATATAAAGCAACTTAGCACTGTTCATAAATTTAAAAAAAAAGCTTTTTGAATTCCCTTAGACCAGCGGTTCTGAACCTTTCTAATGCCGCGACCCTTTAATACAGTTCCTCATGTTGTAGCGACCCCCAACCTCAAAATTATTTTCGTTGATACCGGTACTTCATAACTTTAGAGCATGTGTGTTTTCAGATGGTCTTAGGCGACCCCTGTGAAAGGGTCGTGCGACCCCCAAAGGGGTCGCGACCCACAGATTGAGAACCGCTGCCTTACACTATCCATATTTAAAGGAAAATATCTTTATGCTGGCCAACCAACAGATATATTTGTGATTCCTGGTAAAATATATCAAATAATGTCTGCTTCCAAATTAGATGCACTATGATCAGGAATTTCTATCAATACATTTTTCAATTACCCTGTGTCTCTTCTTATTTCCCCCAAACATCCAACGACCTTCATATCTGCTATTTCTACAACTACGACTTCACCATGGTTCGCTGTCCCAGCTATCATTGTTGGCATCTTGCATGCAACATCCTCCTTGCAAAAGTTAAACTGGCCCAGAAAACCTGCCTTGTTTGCTGTGCATTCCCTGAATGTGCATGACCATCTTTTGGTGGCTGAACAGTATGACAATTCACATTGTCTCTTTTGGGATGGCTTGGAAATCAAACATATTACCTGCAGATTTATTTTATGATTTTTAAATTTTGTTTTCTTCTTGCTTATCTCTTGAATTTGACACCAATCATTTTTTTGAATAGTTTTTTTTTACAACAATAAGCCAACACTGTTTAACCATAATGTTTAACAGATTAACTGCAAACCATGAAAGCATAAACCAACACTGTAAACCATGACAACATAAACCTACATTGTAAACCATGACCATATAAACTAACACAGTAAACTATGACAACCCCTAATCTCACCAGAATCCTAGATATGACCTAAGCTTTGGACTTATTTTCTCTTGAAAAGCAACAACGGTTTGCCAGATTTGCACCATCCATATAAAACAATTCCAGCTATGCCTTGTACTATGATAATATGCAGTATATATTTTTGTATGTTTATTGAACAGAGCAAGCAACAGATGGCACTCAGGCAACAGAGAATTGGGCTCTTTATATGGAAGTATGTGATGTCATAAATGAGACAGATGAAGGGTAGGTTCATTTGGTAGCACAGACAGCCAAATATGCTTAGTGAGGGAAATAGTAGAACACGGTATGTGGAAGCTTCACATACCCTTCCACATACCATTTTCCACTATTTCCTTCACACAGTTTGAACGCAGTCCTTCGTTTATTATCCTATATTTAATGAAATGACAGCCTAAAGTCTTTCATGAACAGACAGCCTTATGTCTTTCATGAACAGACAGCCTTAAGTATTTTATGAACAGACAGCCTTAAGTATTTCATGAACAGACAGCCTTATGCAATTCATGAACAACCTTAAGTATTTCATGAACAGACGGCCTTGTGCATTTCATGAACAGACTTAAGTATTTCATGCACAGACAGCCTTATGCATTTCATGAACAGCCTTAAGTATTTCATGAACAGACAGCCTTATGTATTTCATGTATTGGAATATGTTATGAAAAGGGAAGAATTCATATTTTCTGCTAATTTTGTATTATTATACCCAGCAGTCATGCTGAGAAAATATTACTACTGTCGAAATACTCGGTTCTCTGGTAGAGACCCTCTCCAGTATTTCTGACAACATTGTCTACGTTTACTTATAATACAGTGTCGTTCTCATCTCAAAAAGACCAGGCTAATAATCACGCAAACGAAAGTTGTTTAATATTCATAGTCTTGGGAGGTAAAAGATGGTAGCAGCAGTTAAAATCTATTTTTAGAAAGGTCATAGTAATGGCTACACATTTAATCTCTACACCAAATAAACTCACTAGCAAATCAAGTATTAAAATACACACACTCCTGGAAAAAATTGTTTTAACAGTAACAACCTTTGACACTATCAACAGTGATTTTCATACCCTTAAAAATGACCTATGCCTGACAATATTTAGAAACTTAACATGAGCTTTTCTCAGCATACACTGTTTTCAGGGAAAAATATATGGTACAAATTCTCAGTATACACTATTTACTAGTTCCATATTCAAAATCCCTTAGTATTTCTTACACAGTCCATTAAGTCATCAACCTTAAGAAGCAAACACTTAGTATTTCTTACACAGTCCATTAAGTCATCAACCTTAAGAAGCAAACACTAAGTATTTCTTACACAGTCCATTAAGTCATCAACCTTAAGAAGCAAACACTAAGTATTTCTTACACAGTCCATTAAGTCATCAACCTTAAGAAGCAAACACTAAGTATTTCTTACACAGTCCATTAAGTCATCAACCTTAAGAAGCAAACACTAAGTATTTTGAAATATGTCTGTGGTCCTGTAAAATATTATCTGGTGCACATATCCAATTTGTTTTTAAAACCCTTTCCATGCAACTTTTTTTGAAGACATTGAATGAATACTTCCTGCTCATGAGAGAAAACTTCACGAGCATAACAGTTAATTTTATAGGACACTTTATGTGTGTGAAATTTCATATAGGAGAATATTTTATTTGAAAACACCATTGAACTATAAATTACAAAATATATTTTTTATTAAAATAAATCTCCAGGCCAAAAGATGCCATCCGAGCTTTTCGCAAGCGAATATCCCAAAGTGTTGGAAAAAACTACACATCAGTCATGTATTGCCTTACTGTAAGTTGTTGCATTTAGTACCATTGTACAAGTGACATATTCTGTCTTCAGAACATATAGCAATGTTCTTTTCTTTCTATTATAGCCGTTGGATACATTAATAGGGATCAAGTATTCAATTTATGTTACATCATAAGGGATCAAATATTTCATTTATGTTACATTATTCCCATGCACCGACCTGTTTACTCTTATGATTTTGGTGTACAATGTTCGATTTTGAGATTTTTTTATGATTGCACGCCCAGACCCGCCGGAAATACGATTTTAAGAGACCGGGTTGAAAATATAAATATTCCGTAGTTTTTGCAGATTAAAAAAAAAAAAATTAATTAAAAAGCACATCTTCGCTTGTTAGTTTTAATTTGCATTCTACATCCAGCAGTGAATGGTATGAGAAATATGATTGGTTGTGGATCATCTATAATTATATTACGTTTGTCCTGAGAGGGAAATGGGGTGTTGTTGATAAAAAAGATTTCAGAAAGGGGGTGGGGTCTAAATATGTATTTATCTAAAATTTAACACCACATTTTTGTATGATAGTGAGTGTTTGTGGCAGAAAGTACATAAGTGATTAACAAATTCGACAATATTCATCCTGAAAGTCCAAAACAGCATATTAGGGGAATGTTTTTTGTAATTATTGCCATGTATTTTCACAAATAAACTCGCTAGATACACTCAGACAGTACTCAGTAGTAGATGTATTACAGTAATATTTAGTCCAATGTCTTCAACATGCTTGTGATGTATATTTTGTTAGACTACGCCAGTGGTTCTAAAATTTTTGCTTCCCGGCGCCTATGCCAAATTTATGTGTTCCCCAGGCTCCTTAGGTTTAATTCGAACAATAGCACTTTGAAATAGCCCACACATAAATAAAATAAAGGGTTAGGTAAAAATAAAATATAACACTTATGTAGGTCACTAAGCGCCAAGTAGTAACTGCAAACAGTAGTCACTTAAGTGGGAAACTGTTTGCATCATGAACCAAAGATTAAAAGTGGAAATAGAATCATCAAAATGTTGTAATATTTTGCAACATCCCTGTGAGGAAGCCGCAACAAGACATAGAAAAATGTGCACCCACCGGGGCGGACCAGTAGAAGGAATATTTTTAGCCGCCCTTGTCTTTGTGAAATAAATGGTATTTTATAGTTTAATTCACTATTAAGGTCATTCCTAAATACAATTTTGGCGCCCCCTGATTTTGGCCCCTGTTGCTCTTAGTCCCATTCTCATGGCCATGTCTGTGTTGTATGATGTAATTTTGTGACAATTATATCTTACAGCTGAACCGCGGCTGGCGCATGCAGAAACAGAGAAAACAATTAGATTGCGAAATATTTTATAGGATCCCAGGGGGCCTTTGAAATCTATTTTAGATCACGCTAAACAGCTGTAAGATTTTTAATACCCCCTCTTCCTTTGAACCATTTACAACTTGTGGTAGTTATCAGACTGTAATATGTTAACGGGAAATAGGCATAATGGATATTGATTCTCATTTATTTTATAAAAAAATATATTTTCCCTAAAAATTAAATTTCAAGTTTCTTGGTAAGTTTTTAAAAAAAATGAAACCCTAATTTGTTAATTAATTCTTATCTTAATACATTTTATTTTATGCTGATCTGCCTTTGAGTTTGAACCATGTTAAATTTTACTAGTAACTTTATTTTTACCAGTGACAGACTGTGACAATGTGATACGTGGGTTCACATAATTATTAATTAATATCTATAGCAAATACACGTCTGTAAAACTAAGTGACCGGTCGTCTTCTTTTAGAAGTTACCTTTTTTGATGTCAGCTTAACTCGATTCCACTAGACACGCGATGCGAGTAGCTATTGTATACATCATAAGACATACTGTATGTTTATTTATTTACTACTATTAAGGTACTGTATTGCACGGTTTTCAGGTGATATTGTACGATTTTTGGAGTTTGAGGGTTAACAAGTCTGCATATATGAAAGATTGAATTTTAAACATAGAAAAATAAATGTGATATACTTCTATCTTATTTTTGAGATATTTAACTTTTAAATTATTTTGTAAAAAATTATTAGTAAGCCAAAGCATCCGGAATGACAGCATCCGGAATGACAGCATCAGTATTGAATTAATTAACCAGTTCCATTGTAGTGAAACACTTAATTTATTTAAAGTTCATTTTTAAGGCACGTGTATTGGAAGAGTTACTTGCTTGTGGATTTGACTTATAATTATTGATTATATGTGAGAATTTGTCCTCAAGCTATTTGAAATAATCCATGCATTTATTATCCTATCTAGTGCATTGAATCTTGTGTCAAAAATTGTGGGCGTCGGTTCCACGTCCAGGTGGCCAACAAAGATTTCCTTCATGATATCATCAAAATTATTGGGCCTAAGAATGATCCTCCTCAAATTGTACAGGAAAAAGTTCTTAGCATGATACAGGTAATAACATTTAACATGATACAGGTAATAACATTTAACATGATACAGGTAATAACATTTAATATGATACAGGTAATAACATTTAACATGATACAGGTAATAACATTTAACATGATACAGGTAATAACATTTAATATGATACAGGTAATAACATTTAACATGATACAGGTAAAATCATTTAACATGAGCCAGTTAAAAACATTTAACATGATACAGGTAAAAACATTTAATATGACCCAAATTTATGTTTACTCCTAAGATGCTATCATGAACTAGCAACCTTAATGAGAAATGTCCACTATTTGCTTGTAAGAAGATTTAAGCCTGCATGTAACAGGTTTTGATGGACAACATTTTTAGGATACATGTTTTTTAATTGTTGGAGACATTTTCCACATAATTGTTTCCCTTCACAATTTAATAAATGATCAAAATTTTATTTTTACATCATGTTCAACTTTTTGTTCCCTAAATTGATCCAAAAAAAATTATTTAAAGACATGGGCAGATGCATTCCGGGGAAATGCTGAATTGAAAGAGGTTGAAAAAGTTTACCAGGAGTTAAAACAGAAAGGAATAGAGTTCCCAATGACTGACCTTGATAACCTTGCTCCAATCCATACGCCGGCCAGGGTAAGCAGGGCTGATAGATTCTCCTTAAGTTACAAGTATTTCAACTTTTCTTCCATCTCACTGTGACTAGGAGAATGTTGCAGCCTACAGTATCTAGAGCTCTCTAATTAGTATCTAGAGCTCTCTAATTAGATCTTTTGGTTATCTAGTATCTTAAATAAGTGTTTATGAAATGATAGTTTGCTATACTCTGAGTGAGTGATTTAATATCGTGAGTTAGTTTTTAAGGAATGATAGTTTGCTAAACTCTGAGTGAGTGATCTAATATCTTAAGTTTGTATTTATGAAATGATAGTTTGCTAAACTCTGAGTGAGTGATCTAATATCTTAAGTTTGTATTGATGAAATGATAGTTTGCTAAACTCTGAGTGAGTGATCTAATATCTTAAGTTAGTTTTTAAGGAATGATAGTTTGCTAAACTCTGAGTGAGTGATCTAATATCTTAAGTTTGTTTTTATGAAATGATAGTTTGCTAAACTCTGAGTGAGTGATCTAATATCTTAAGTTTGTATTTATGAAATGATAGTTTGCTAAACTCTGAGTGAGTGATCTAATATCTTAAGTTTGTATTGATGAAATGATAGTTTGCTAAACTCTGAGTGAGTGATCTAATATCTTAAGTTTGTATTGATGAAATGATAGTTTGCTAAACTCTTGTCCCTAACATAGTTTAAAATGACTTAAAAACTACTCTCTTTGAATTGACCGTAGAGTGTTCCTGAAAGAGAGCCACAGGCCATTCATGAGAGAGGGGGAAGTAGCCGAGGGGTAAGTAAGAACATTTATTCATAACTACCCAAATCAAGTATTTCAGAAAGTCTATGTTTCCTTTTGTTAGCAATCTGTTCAAATTGCTGATACCCTAGTGCTGATTAACACTGATTTATTGGGGTTATTTCCTTATAGCATCTGTTAAATACTATTTCATCAGATCATTCTCTAAGGATTCATTTTTTTGGGTGTTTGTTTAAATTTGCTTAAATTATCTTTTTTCTTCTTTCAATATTGATTGATTGAATACTTATAATAGCACTTGTATCCATGCAACATTAGTGTTTCTATTGTGGTATCTTGAGGTCAAACTGATCTCATTTCTCATGGAACAAATATTTTGTCAGTGTCATAAATTTAACAAGAATTGAGCAAAGAGAAAATAGTGAGAGTAAAGCTAGTGAGAGTAAAGCTAGTGAGAGTAAAGCTAGTGAGAGTGCAGATAGTGAGAGTAAAGCTAGTGAGAGTGCAGATAGTGAGAGTAAAGCTAGTGAGAGTAAAGCTAGTGAGAGTGCAGATAGTGAGAGTAAAGCTAGTGAGAGTAAAGCTAGTGAGAGTAAAGCTAGTGAGAGTAAAGCTAGTGAGAGTAAAGCTAGTGAGAGTAAAGCTAGTGAGAGTAAAGCTAGTGAGAGTAAAGCTAGTGAGAGTAAAGCTAGTGAGAGTAAAGCTAGTGAGAGTAAAGCTAGTGAGAGTAAAGCTAGTGAGAGTAAAGCTAGTGAGAGTAAAGCTAGTGAGAGTAAAGCTAGTGAGAGTAAAGCTAGTGAGAGTAAAGCTAGTGAGAGTAAAGCTAGTGAGAGTAAAGCTAGTGAGAGTAAAGCTAGTGAGAGTAAAGCTAGTGAGAGTAAAGCTAGTGAGAGTAAAGCTAGTGAGAGTAAAGCTAGTGAGAGTAAAGCTAGTGAGAGTAAAGCTAGTGAGAGTAAAGCTAGTGAGAGTAAAGCTAGTGAGAGTAAAGCTAGTGAGAGTAAAGCTAGTGAGAGTAAAGCTAGTGAGAGTAAAGCTAGTGAGAGTAAAGCTAGTGAGAGTAAAGCTAGTGAGAGTAAAGCTAGTGAGAGTAAAGCTAGTGAGAGTAAAGCTAGTGAGAGTAAAGCTAGTGAGAGTAAAGCTAGTGAGAGTAAAGCTAGTGAGAGTAAAGCTAGTGAGAGTAAAGCTAGTGAGAGTAAAGCTAGTGAGAGTAAAGCTAGTGAGAGTAAAGCTAGTGAGAGTAAAGCTAGTGAGAGTGCAGATAGTGAGAGTAAAGCTAGTGAGAGTAAAGCTAGTGAGAGTGCAGTTAGTGAGAGTAAAGCTAGTGAGAGTGCAGATAGTGAGAGTAAAGCTAGTGAGAGTAAAGCTAGTGAGAGTGCAGATAGTGAGAGTAAAGCTAGTGAGAGTAAAGATAGTGAGAGTAAAGCTAGTGAGAGTAAAGCTAGTGAGAGTGCAGATAGTGAGAGTGCAGATAGTGAGAGTGCAGACATTGTTTACATGGGGAGAAAAGGGAAAGTTTAATTACAATTGTATTTTCTTGTCCAGAAAAAGTATGCGGAGCTGGTCAATGAATCTGATGACGAGGTTTGTCTTGTCATCTCCTGGCTGTTGTCATTTCAGTTGAGATGGGATTCAAGCTTTATCATTAATTGAAGCTTCTTGTTGAATAGAAATGTACTGCATTAGACGTTTGGGCTGCCCGCAAAGTCGGTGTTCAATGTTGATTATTTTAAGAAACATTGAATTTCTCCACTTACACCAAATTATCTGCTTCAAAATGTAAATCTGTTAGCTTATTGTTAGAGTTAAGGGTCACTACTCTGTGATTAAAAAATTAGGTGTCCAAGTTTTGCTCTACGTTGTTACTTATCTATTGAGGGTGTTGATACTGCACGGAGCTTCATATTACTTAGTTGTGTTTACTTGTGAATCCACTTTGTCTTTGCTTTGCTTACATGAATGTGCTCATTTTCTCAACTATCTTTTATTGTTAATTCATGGAGAGATAGCTATAATAGCCTAATTGAGCTGGGCGGGCCCAGCGAGAGCTATAATAGCAAAGATACCATGTGAAGGGGTCCAAGTGACCAGGGTTGGGGCCAAATGAGCAGGGTTGGGGCCAAATGAGCAGGGTTGGGGCAAAGTGACCACAGTTGGGGCAAAGTGATAGGGTTGGGAGAAAAATGACCAGGGTTGGGGCCAAGTGACCATGGTAGGGTCCTACTCATTTAAATTTTGTTTTTGCATGTTGCTTAATGTTTATAAATATGCATGATAGTTTTTTTATACTTTTTTAAAAATTGAATTAAAAAGTTTATTTTTAAAAAAACCCAGTAAAGATAAAATTTATATTCCAATTCTATCTGATAACATACATTGACTTACAAAGTACTGAGCTGTTTTTAATAGGTCTAGGGTTCTAAATATGCCTTGTTTACACCAATAATTGGTTCACACATTGTGTTACAAGATTTTCATTTAAAGGACAAAAAGCACAATAAAAAAGAATAAAATTGTTGTTTTTGATTCCATTTTACCTACAATGTTAAGGTTAAAGAAGCCATCATGTAAACTAACCATTCTGATCTTATTATAGCCATTGACCATGACCTTGTGGTTTCAGAGCAAGTTTTGAAACAGTTTTTAAGAAATCATTTGTCAGTGGGTCGAATATCTGATATAATATTGGATGGCTCAAACCAGACCATGGTGTCAGTAAGACCATGGTGTATACAGGTCAATAAGGCCATGTAAGACAATGGTGTATTCAGGTCAATAAGACAATGGTGTATACAGGTCATAAGACAATGATGTATTCAGGTCAATAAGACAATGGTGTATTCAGGTCAATAAGAGTATTATTTAAAAAAGCATATTTTTTTAAGACTAAAGAAAGTGTTTTCTTTTCCTAGCCTGCAGGTCCAACTCAAGGTTTTGCTCCTGTGACTGGCTATCCACCAGTAGCTGGATATCCTCCAGCTACCGGGTACCCTCCGGCAACTGGTTACCCTCCAGCTACCGGTTACCCTCCAGCTACCGGTTACCCTCCAGCTACCGGTTACCCTCCAGCTACCAGTTACCCTCCCGTCGCAGGGTACCCACCTGCAGCTTATCCTCCGGCGGGGTTTCCTCCCACAAGTGCCGGAAGTGGTAGTGGAAATGGCGGTGGCCCTCTAAGTACAGATCAAGCCACCAAGCTTAGACGAGAGCTGGATGTGGTCCACGGTAACATCCGTGTTATGAGTGAGATGTTGACAGAACTGATCCCAACCGGTGTAGACCCTTCAGACCTAGAGCTTCTTCAAGAGCTCAACAGGACCTGCCGTCAGATGCAGTCTCGGATTGTGGAACTTTTAAATGAAATGGCTACTGAAGAAGTCACAAGTAATGTACTTAAAATTGTACTGCTATATAGTTAGTAGCTACAGTAGAAGTTTGAATGTTTACTTCTGAGTGTAGTTAGTAGCTACAGTAGAAATTAGAATGTTTACTTCTGAGTGTAGTTAGTAGCTACAGTAGAAATTAGAATGTTTACTTCTGAGTGTAGTTAGTAGTTACAGTAGAAATTTGAATGTTTACTTCTGAGTGTAGTTAGTAGCTACAGTAGAAGTTTGAATCTTTACTTCTGATCTGGATTGATAAAGGTTAGATTTTTGTGTAAAAAAAAAATCAAAACAATCTGATTAATTTGATTTAAATAGGATTTTTAAATTGATTTTTGTTCTTCCTTTTTTATTTTTTTAGATTTTGAAGATCTTTTTAATACTATTTAAATCAATTTTTTAGATTTGAATTGCATATTAAAAATTTTAATCAGATTTTTTATTTTTAAATCTGATTTTTTTCTTTTCTGGAATTTAATTCATATTTTTTTCTCTCTCTTTAAAAAAAAAAAAGAATGGCTTTAGATTTTAAAGTATGGTAATTTTTATAAAGATTAAAAATAATGGAGTTGATGGTATTTGACTCATTCTCTCCAGATCAGACAAAAAATTAATTTGAAATCGACAAAGGCATCTTTATCATAAAAACCAATTTGTTTCTTTTCTTAGCTGTTCGTTTTAAATTACTTTTAATCAAACTAGAATGATTTCTCTTTGATAAACGTCCAAATTTTCTTTCTTTCAATGAGTTTTTACAGAGAATGAAGTGTTTAAAGCAGTTGTTTCGATAACTTATTTTATTTTTGTTTGCAAAATTAAATGTCAACCTGGCGCATCTGGCGATCGATCTAATAAATAAAGGTAGAAAATATTACACTGCTGAACATTTAAAAGATATTGTTTTTTATGATTATTCAGATAGTTATTTTATGATTTTGGATGCAGAGACTGATTCTGATGAAACATATAATCCTAGTGCCTAGTAGTAGTAGTACTTGCCAAACTGCATAGGTTTGTACTGGATGTTAGTCAAATCCGCACATCCATTTGGATGGTTTTCAGGCTCACCATAGGTAAAACAAGATGAAAAGATTTTCCATTGACCATAATAAAGGTAAATTCATACCAGGATACAGTGCAACTATTTTCTTGTAGCACCAAATTGTTTCCAGTGGAAATAGTTTTTTTCTGACATTTTTTGTGTGGCTGTGACAATGGATTATGTGCTTTCGTGTTTAGTTTTTTTTTTAAAAATAATTATTCTTAATGACTTATCTATAGATATAGCTCAGAAATATTTTTTTGATACACTGTGAATTATAAATTTCTTTTTGTGTGACTTGGAATGCGCATTTAGCTAACATTTTTTAAAAAAATGTAACATTTTTATTTTCCATAAACCAAAATCACATTTATATATTAAAATTTAAACCTAATCTGTATTGTCTGTAACGAGCATGCATTCCCCTTTAATTCCATACCAAACTTAACATTTTCTAATGAATAACAAAAAAATTATGATGGTTTAGAGATAACATGGTAGTGCTTAACAAATATACAAAATGGATCACTCTGTCAGAATGATGAAAATATTTCCAGAGACAAAGGGTTACATCAATTTTTTAAATATAAATTGAATTTTAAAAATGTGAATATTTTTTTAAAAGGATTTTAAAAAGATTTGGAAGTATTTTTGATTTTTATAATGATAAAACACAATGTCTTTAATATTATTTAAATCAGTTTTTTTAATATTTTCAAATTTTATTTTAACTTACTGATTTAAATTTAAGTAAACTAATAGAAAAATTAATAACTTCTAATTGAAATCATTTTGAAAAGATTTTCATAGTTTTTCCCAGACTGAAATTTCTCATTATGTTTAATTAAAAATAATTATGGAATGTGTAATAATGAAGTAAAAAAGAGGGTTTTAAAACTTATCTTCAACTATAGGTATAGTATAGTCTCAGTAATATAACTCTCTATTTAATCTATATGAATAAGAATTTCAATTCACTTTCACACTTTCAATTTATCGATATCAGTGTCCTATTATTGTAATTTGTCGATGTCATTAGATTCTACCAAAGCCTTCGGATCAAATAATTTGAAAAGAAAAACTAGTTCTTAGCTTTCTCAACCCAAATTGATTTCTGAATTCTAACCAACATTTTAAAAAAAATATAATTAAATTGAAACTTATGTTTATAAAATTGTGCAATCTTAATTATAAATGAAGAGCTAATAGATTGTGTAACTAATAATACATATACACAAACAGAAGTTCTTTTTAGAAAGTGCCTATAAAATCAATTAAGTAGATAAATAAAGGTCAATTGATAGCAATTTTAAAAATTAAAATCATTATTTTTATTCGTCATTTAAATTGATTTGAATCAATGCTTGAAATAGGTTGATTTGAATCAATGATTGAAATAGGTTGATTTAATTCATTGATTGAAATAGCTTGATTTAAATCAATGATTGAAATAGCTTGATTTAAATCAATGATTGAAATAGGTTGATTAAAATCCTCGCAAGCCTGCTTCTGAGTATAGTTATCTGAAGAAGTTTCAATATGTATGTTTGACTGTTGTTAATTGTACTATAGAAGTTTTAATGTATGCACCAATTTCTGAGCGTCACTACAGAAGTTTAATGTATGCACCAATTTCTGAGCGTCACTACAGAAGTTTAATGTATGCACCAATTTCTGAGCGTCACTACAGCCATGTTGTAAACGCTGATGTCATTTCTCTTTTATTTTCAGATGATCTCTTGCGAGTTAATGATGACCTAAATAATGTTTTCCTACGCTATGAACGCTTTGAGCGTTACCGCACAGGTCAGTCGGGCCAGGCTGTTACCCCATCTTCGGAGGTCACATCCCAAGACACTCTCTTACCCCCAGCTTATGACCAGGTGGGCTCATTGATCACTTATCTGTCAATTTAGAGAGATTAGAAATTTTCCAGTTTTAAAAGGGGAATGTAATACATAATTTATTAGCCATGGGAAACAGTTTTGTAACATAATGCTAAATATACGCCACAAAATTGAAAGGCACCTGTTGAATTCTGGTCTTAATTATAAGTGTTAAAAAAGTGTTAAATTTCACTTACTTACTTAAACTTTTTTGTTAACTCTTTCTCTGTACGCTCATCCTCTGTTCTAAAAAGCATGGGCCCCAAGCTGTGTGTTGTTTCAATATCATGTTGGTTTCTTTGCTATTTTCGGTTAAACTTTTTAAGGGCTATTTTTTAATAAGACTTACCAGGTGCTGTCAATCCTAAGTATCCTAATTCTATACCTTTCCTCCAAATGGCTACCAAGTGTTGCCAGTCCCAAGTATCCTAATTCTATACCTATCCTCCCAATAGCTACCAGGTGCTGCCAATCCAAATGTTGGAAACCTTATAGACCTCAGTGAGGACACAACCCCTCCACCAACTCAAGTCACTACACAAATGGCCGGCTTAAGTAAGTGAAATAACCACATGTAATGGTCAAGGATGTTTAAGTGGGAACATTTGCTTATAAAGTAATAGCTGTATGCAAAAGTTTCTAAGTATCGATGTGATATAAACGGCATATATAGGAGGCCATATAACTGAGTTTGTAAGACTGGTGCTTTCGCAAGTATTCACAAAATCTCATTATGTGGTGTACTTGTTTTCCAGCATAGTGGGCTGAAACATGGTTAGAAATAACTGACCACTGTCCAGCATAGGGGGCTGAAACATGGTCAGAAATAACTGACCAGTGTCCAGCATAGGGGGCTAAATCATGGTCAGAAATAACTGACCAGTGTCCAGCATAGGGGGCTAAATCATGGTCAGAAATAACTGACCAGTGTCCAGCATAGGGGGCTAAATCATGGTCAGAAATAACTGACCAGTGTCCAGAATAGGGTGCTAAAACATGGTCAGAAATAATTTACAATTGTCCAGCATAGAGGGGTAAAACATGGTCAGAAATAATTTACAATTGTCCAGCATAGGGGGCTAAAACATGGTCAGAAATAACTGACCAGTGTCCAGCATAGGGGGCTAAATCATGGTCAGAAATAACTGACCAGTGTCCAGCATAGGGTGCTAAAACATGGTCAGAAATAATTTACAATTGTCCAGCATAGGGGGCTAAAACATGGTCAGAAATAACTGACCAGTGTCCAGCATAGGGGGCTAAATCATGGTCAGAAATAACTGACCAGTGTCCAGAATAGGGTGCTAAAACATGGTCAGAAATAATTTACAATTGTCCAGCATAGAGGGGTAAAACATGGTCAGAAATAATTTACAATTGTCCAGCATAGGGGGCTAAAACATGGTCAGAAATAACTGACCAGTGTCCATCATAGGGGGCTAAATCATGGTCAGAAATAACTGACCAGTGTCCAGCATAGGGGGCTAAATCATGGTCAGAAATAACTGACCAGTGTCCAGCATAGGGGGCTAAATCATGGTCAGAAATAACTGACCAGTGTGCATTGAGGTGAACATTTAGAAAGATTCAGGATTATTTTTGACACTTAGTTTAACAATGAGCCATGTTTTTTCTCACCGCATGCAGGTTTAGGAGCTAATACAGGTAGCAACTCCACACCCCACCATCAGCCGCCACCAGCATCAGATGACTTTGATATGTTTGCTCAGTCCAGACAATCCTTTGACCAAAGCAAACAAGCTTTACCGTAAGTCATTTCATAACTGTTTATAAAAAGAAGTGATTCTTTAATTCTCAATGACTTGATCATTTGAAGTGTGTCTGACTGTTTAACTATAGGAATGTGCAGGTGAGAAAACTGAATCTCATTGTCTTGGTTTGGTTTCATGATGTCTCAGTCAGGCTGTCTCAGTCGGGCTGTCTCCGTCAGGCTGTCTCAGTAAGGTGATGTCAGTCAGACTCTCAATCAGATTGTCTTTTGAATGTATCCTGATATTTGAAAACATTAAAAAAATTATATTTTAATCTTCAGTGCAACACTTTATGATACCCAACAGACAGATACATACACAGGCAGTCTGAGTCAGGCTGTCAAGCAAAGGACAACGGTGAGTTGTGTGATGGGAGGGTGGGGCTGTCTCAGTCAGACTGTCAAAAAAAGACAACTGTGAGTTGTGTGATGGGAGGGTGGGGCTGTCTCAGTCAGACTGTCAAACAAAAGACAACAGTGAGTTGTGTGATGGGAGAGTGGGGCTGTCTTAATCAGGCTGTCAGACAAGGGACAACTGTATGTAATGGGAAGATGGGGCTGTCTTAATCAAAATATTTTAAAATGACAACTATTAGTCCAGTGAGTTTGATGTGAGAATTTAATTTTTAGCAAAGCATATTATTACATTTTGAACTGATGACAAATAATATCAATTTTAATATTTATTAAATGCTTAGTGAAAAAAAAATGATTTCTCCTGTCCAAGACAATTCTGTTCTAATGGCTCACATACCTTTGTTTTAGCAAGATACACTGAATGTAAGTCGGTTATTTTTGTCATTGTTTGCATCCTGTAATCCTCTTTGCTGTGTTCCTTATCTTAGGATCCTATTCTCTAAGCATCATTTCAGGCTTCTGGCTCTACCATATTGCAATTATATAGAAGTAGAGAAATTATAGAGAGCATTTTTAGTTTCAAAACCCAAATCGGGAGATTTGGAAATAGAGGCGGCATATTTTAGCACAGCTTGGATAACAATAATGTGGGCACTTGTAGATGAACATAATGATGCATTTTGTACCAAGTCATCACTATGGACAAATGATAATATTGAAATAAGCCAAAATTTTAACAAATCTTGTGATATGTATGTAAAAATATTATTTTCCCCATTAAGAATGAGGGGTGTAACTAAAGAATGAGCGGTGTAACTATTTCAACTGCAATATTAGCTTTTTAAAATGATAGCTGCAGGGTGAGATAACCCGGTAAGTTGCTAAAATAAACTGTCTGCTACTGTCACACAGATGTCGGATGAAGAAACCCTTAAGGTACGGTCCTCCATCTTTAATGTTGTGGTATTTCCTTAGTGATCAGGCACAGATTAACACACACACTCAGCTCTTATTGACTGGATTAGCCAATCAGGAGCAAGTTTCATTTCCTCTCCTGGTGTCTGGCCATAGAAATCAAGGCTTCTTTTACTACATTACAACCTAATTTTTTCTAAGCATTTACTTTAAAATAGGTTTATTGAAAAATTATCATTTTGGTGCCATATTTTTCATCTGTATCAGTGGTTTTCAAAGTGAACTGCACTGTCACCAATACTATTACAAAGTTTAATATCCAAAAACCCTTGCTAAGTACCATCCTGCTTTGATTAGCTTCTGTGTTGCTGATTAATGAGCTGTCTTCCTTAGAGGGTAGCGCCAAATAATATTTTGAATAATGCTTATTTGGTAAGATGGGGAAGCTATAGGTTTATAGCACCATGTGAGAGGTGGCCAGAAATAGTTTGAGAACCACTGATCAGTATGAGTTTTTTTTTGGTTATGGTGATGTAGATTAACAAGGATAGATTTTGCATTGTGATGTAGATCAATAATTCAATAAAGATTTTGTATGGTGATGTAGATCAATAATGATAGATTTTGTAGGGTGATGGAGATCAATAAGGATAGATTTTGTAGGTGATGTAGATCAATAATGATAGATTTTGTAGGGTGATGGATATCAATAAGGATAGATTTTGTATGGTGATGTAGGTCAATGAGGATAGATTTTGTAGGGTGATGTAGATTAATAATGATAGGTTTTTTAAGATGATTTAGATCAATAAGGATAGATTTTGCATTGTGATGTATATCAATAATTAAATATAGATTTGTATGGTAATGTAGATCAATAATGGTAGATTTTGTATGATGATGTAGATCAATAATGGTAGATTTTGTAAGGTGATGTAGATCAATAAGGATAGATTTTGTATGGTGATGTAGATCAATAATGATAGATTTTGTAAGGTGATGTAGATCAATAAGGATAGATTTTGTAAGGTGATGTAGATCAATAAGGATAGATTTTGTAAGGTGATGTAGATCAATAATGATAGATTTTGGATGGTGATGTAGATCAATAAGGATAGATTTTGTAAGGTGATGTAGATCAATAATGATAGATTTTGTAGGGTGATGTTGATCAATAATGATAGATTTTGTAGGGTGATGTAGATCAATAAAATATATTTAGAAAAAAAAAAATTCTTCTGTTTTGGGTTTAAATTGAATTCAGTTGTCATTTAACACATCCTAGTAGGCCTTTCATGTAGAGACCGACCGAATTTCGGCTTTAGCTTTTCGGTTTCAGCACCGAAAGTGACCATTTTATCACCTTCGGCCAAGTTTCAGTTTCGGCCGAAACTGAAGAGTTAACTTTCTGCTTAATTTCGGTTTCGGCCGAAAGAGAAAAGTTAACTTTCGGTTTTTCTTCGGTTTCGTCCGAAAGTGACACAGGTTTTCAGTCATTTAATACTCAACGAAATCGATATTTAACAACAAACTAAGCGACATTTAAGAGCAAATTAAACGATCTTTGAGAGCAAATTAAGCGATATTTAACAACAAACTAAGCGATCTTAAAGAACAATCTAAACGATTTTTAAGACCGAACTAAATGATCTTTAAGAACAAAACAAATGATCTTAAATAGTAAACTAAAGGATTTATAAGAATAAACTAAGCAATCTTTAACAGAAAACTAAATGTTCTTTAGGAACAAATTAAAAGATCTTTAAGAACAAACTAATCGATCTTAAGGAACAAAATCAATTATCTTTAAGAACAAACTAAGCGATCTTTATGAAAAAACTTAGCGATCTTTACAACAAACTAGTTGATCTTTAACAACAAATTAAACGATCTTTAACAACAAATTAAACAATCTTTAACAACTAAATAAGCGATCTTTATGAAAAAATAAGCGATCTTTACAACAAACTAGGCGATCTTTAAAACAAACTAAGCGATCTTTAACAGCAAACTAAGCGATCTTTGAGAACAAATTAAGCGATCTTTAAGATTAAATTAAGCGATATTTTAGAACAATCTAAGCGATCTTTATGAACAAACTCACCGATCTTTAAGAACAAACTAACCGATCAATAACAACCAACTAACGATCTTTAAAAACAAATTAAGCGATCTTTTTGAACCACATTTTTTAGAGACCTGGTTTTTTAAAAAAAATAATATTTTGCATTAATTTTCGATGCATGCAGAATGTATGCGGGAACGAATTTCAAAATATCTTAATGTTTCGGTTTCGGCTGAAATTCATTCTTAACTTTCGGCCTTTTTTCAGTTTTGGCCGAAAGTCATTTTTAAACTTTCAGCCTTTTTTCGGTTTCGGCCGAAATTCATGTTAAACTTTCGACCTATTTTCGGCTTCTGCCGAAATCAGAAAATCACTTTCGGTCGGTCTCTACTTTCATGATCATCACATTACCCATCCTAGCATATCTGTCATGTTCATCCCATTACCCATCCTAGTTTACTTGTGTCATTGTAATGTCTGTACTTCCATCCATTTTTTTTACAACTTATAGTTTCAAATATTCTATGTGCCTTCCATAAACATTCATTGTACTTTCAAATATTTACTTCCCCTAATTGCTTTAGACTAGAATTGGCTTACACTATTTTATGCTCATATTATTACAGAAAACTATAGACAATTTTTCTTTATGATTACGTTTCCTCCCACTTTTTCACCTATTTAGTCAACAGTTGTGAGCAGAATTCATTTATATTCCAGCTTATTTATAAGCTATGAAATAATACTAGCTGCTTTATTTTGTGTTGTGTGTCAATCATAGCACTAATGTCACACTAATGACCTGGAAACATATTTTAATATTGTAACTTTACAAGTGCTTTTAGAACTAATCATTTCAGTGTTCTGATCTAGCTGCTTACAATTATAGGACATTACCATGGAACATGGTTTGTTTCTCTCAGCTTTAAGTTCTAATGTCACTTCACAATGTCACTCCAGTCATGTGATGACACGTTTAACCATCTGATCACAGGCTTTATTTTTTGCACTTTTGAAAATCTAAAAGTTTGAAAATGTTATAAGATTTCAGATGCTATTCTTAAATTTTAGAAAAAATCATCTGAATTTTCTCACGATCAATCAGGTTCTAAAGTATTGATTGTTTTTGCAAGTTAGACCTATTGACCTAATCTCCAGGGTAATACTTTGATGGCTACTTAAACAAACACGACGCTTGCTTTAAAGTTCATCTCATAGTTGATCTCATAAGAGGTGTATTCATTTCTCCTCTTTTGGTCATTTTTCCTTTCTTCTTTTAGTTACAAGACAAAGAGACAGACTATGATGAAATGGAACAATGGTTAGCCACACATGGAGCAGGGGTAAGCTCACACAATGGTTAGCTACACAGGGACAGGGGTAAGCTCACACAATGGTTAACCACACATGGAGCAGGGGTAAGCTCACACAATGGTTAGCCTCACATGGAGCAGGGGTAAGCTCACAGTTTGAGCTATACAATTTTCTTACAGCACCATTATACTCGTTAAATTACTCAACACATCATCAGCCTCATCTCAGAAAGATAAATTTGATCACAATCATCTCTACAATTATCTGCTGGCCCAAGGATACAACCCCCATGGTCAAGGCCAGGGGTCACCAAACTTTTTTCTTGGCGGGCCGGATAATGGAAAAGTGAAGAGCGCAGGCCGGATAATCATTGTGTACACTACTGCAAGCCAGAACGAAAGCTCTGGGGAAAAAAGACAAAAATTTAAGTTTAGTGTTCCATGTTAATCATGGGCGAGTGGCGTGCAAAGCAAAAAAGCAAAAACAACCAACATATTTATTTACTAAAAAAATTAGCAAAGAAGGCGACGTTAGGAGAAAGATTGCTACATCAGACTTAGTGCGTACATATCTGAATCTCATAAACTAAGACTAAACAACAAAAAAGGTTATTGATATTAATTTGAGAAACTGACATTTGGCTTTCAAAACATCATCGTTTGGTTTGAAATTGCTGCATCCAATCAAAAGAATTGTTTTCAAATGTTCATCAATCTCTCTCGTTCGATGTGATGACTTCACATTCTTATTTTTAAAAATGTTTGCTCACTGACAAAAGTTGTTCCATGAATTCTGCAAACAAATGCCAACTCTTCCGTTATCTGATAGTCCAAATTGACACCACAAATAAACAAGAGAAGTTGTGAGGGATCAGTATACTCATCCAGTGCCAGCAAGTTCCTAGCTTTCTCACGTATCTGTAGTGCTCTCCAAATTATTCTTGGTTTTCTGCACAACGGAGCTGTTAGTTCCAACAGTGGCGACTACGGTGGACAGTCTGCGCCAGTTATTAGAAAATAATATATTGGTGGGAATAGGCTTCATGGAAATTGATTCTTATTTTATAATTTTTTTTAAACCAGCTTTTCCTTAAAACAACAACCTCAAGTTACTTGGTAGGTTTGTTTTAATGATGTCATCATTTGTTAATTAATTCTTATTTAAATACATTTTGTTTTATGCTCATCTGAGTTTGAACCACATTAAATTTCACCAGTAACTTTATTTTTACCAGTGTCTGTAGGTCCACTCTATATAAATTAATATCAATAGCAAATGTGTGTCTGCAATATAAAGTGACAGCAGATTGCAATATAAACGTTGGTCATCTACTTTTAGCAGTTAACTTTTTTGACACCAGTTTAACTCAATCCGACTGCGATGCGAGTTGTTATTTTATTCATTTACATACTGTATGTTTATTTTTTTACATAATATGCCATATTGTACAATTTTGAGACAATATTGTGCGATTTTAGGAGTTCAAGGGTGAACAGTTCTACAATATACAAGATAATTTAGATACAATAATTTAATATTGAAAAGTGTAACTTAAGGCACATAGCAGCCAGGAGGTCTCTGCACGTGTGAAGATCTCCTAGCATTCTAATCATAATATTGAAATTTAAATTGTATCACAATGTCTCGTGCTCCATACGTTTTTTCAAGCAAGTTCAAGTACCGTCAGCGGGCCGGATGAACTGGCTTCGTGGGCCGTAGTTTGGTGACCGCTGGTTAAGGCTAAGGGTTAACATGGTTAAGGTTTTGGGAGTAACATGGTTAATGCTACGAGAGTAACATGGTTAAGACTATGGGAGTAACGTAATTAGGCTATTGGACTAACATTATTTAGGATATGGAAATAAACCTACGACATAACAATCTGTAAAATAAAAATAAAATAAAAATTTAAATTAATTCTTTATTAATTTTTTGAGTTAGTCTTTTATGGTTAATTTTTTAAAAATATAATAATGTTGATGAAATTAATAAAATTAAGAATGAAAATTCTGAACAGAAAATCTAATCCATGTTTTTTCTCCTTTTTGATTGAAATTTAATTAGTTTCTACATTTTTGTGCTCTGTGTTGCAGGAAGTGCAAGGGAGACCACAAGAACCAATAACAAGCTCAGGTTGGTCAACAACTAAATCTAATTACATGACTTTGAGATATAATGTTACATACCATCTGAATGTCTATTACATGACTTGATCATTTGAGATATAATGTTACATACCATCTGAATGTCTATTACATGACTTGATCATTTGAGATATAATGTTAAATACCATCTGAATGTCTAACCATAAAACAAAATACAAATGTAAATGTCTCACCATCCTAATACCATCTGAATGTCTAACCATAAAACAAAATACAAATGTAAATGTCTCACCATCCTATAAAATACAATAGCAATTTAATTCATTCAGAAAGAGCTGAAAATGAACAGTGCACTAGTAAATAATATGGTCAAAGAATGTTTTTCAAAAAGACAGGAATGTCTTGACATTCTTCCATAAATAGAAGGAGAAGGGGAGCAAAGCATTAAATGATGTCATGGAATGAGTTGAAATATACAACCTCCTTTTTTTTTTGGTGTAAACTGAATCCCATTGAAATGATTTGTTTCAAAATTTTTGTTCTAAAGATGACGGCTGTTTAAGTAGAGGTATCTTTTATTCTCACATTGATGGGCTTTTAATTTCTTAACTTTATTTGTTTTTTTTTACATTCCTTGTTTTACTTTGACCTGCACTACTGCAAAGATGGTGCAGTAATGTGAGTAGATCTTCTTTCTCTCCATATGACTTGCATTATATTGATGGCTGTATTACTTTATACCTCTATACAAATTGGATAACTTGTTTTGAATATATTTATGTATGGATTTTTTAAATGGTGGAGCTTTATACTAGCGAATTATTATTGTCTTGTCTACAAGATAGCTTGCCTGGGGTTTTGTTTTTGGCGGTATCAGACCTGTTTACCCTCAAACTCTTAAAATTGTACAATATCATCACAAAATCATTCAATACATTATCTTAATAGTAAAAAATAAACATACAGTATATATAATGTATACATCTCAAAATCGTACATTGTACACCAAAATCGTGAGAGTAAATAGGTCTGCGGTGTATCCCTTGTTTTGATTTCATGGCAATGTCACTTTATACTTTTATTTTATGGCAATGAAACTTTTATTCCTTCATTTTCTTTCTCGTGTGTGTGCCAGTTTATCAAATGTTCCAAAATATTGGGGATCATAACACCAACAACTATAATATCTTGACTTAATCTGCTATCTATGTGCATAATCTTTGAAATATCTTCAATGACCACACACCCACTTATTGTACTACTGATGACATTTGATTGGTTTTTACTGGTAATCACTCTTTCAAAGGTCACTAGTACGGGTCATTAATTATTTTTATTCTACTATGATTTAACATATTTTTTCTTCCACTACTAATAAACTGGACACAGTCAAATATTTTTTTCTTCGCTGCACCAGTTTTGAGTTGAACCCCTGGTTTTACATTTATTGACTCCAGATTATGAAAAACAAGTCAATATATTTAGGTATTTCCAGAGTTGGTTAGTTTGTATGTCAGTTTGGTGTGGCAGTCACAGAGTTGTTTGTCTGTCAATGGTCAGTTTGGTATGGCAGTCACAGGTTTGTCATTCATTCTGTGCTATCATGTAAACCTTCTGTCAGAATTAGGAATGAGCCTTGAGATCACTTGTCTCATGTGTAGCAGACATGGAGACTCTTTGATTTCAGTCTTTGTCATTGTTAACAGTCATGACAAAATTTATTCCATATTTTCCTCTTAATAAATAATACTTTTTATCTCATGTCTTTCCCCCCCCCCTCCCCCCCATTTTTGTTGTTATTATTATTAACACAGACTAATCCTTTAAACACAAATGCATTATATACCTTTAGTGAAAGTATTTTTAAAAGTTTAAGATGATTTCTTGAGATTAATTTATGTGTTAAATTTTGTACTAATGTTTGATTTCCTAAACTCTTAATTTTCAGAGTTTGACAGGTTTTTATCCGAGCGGGCTACGTCATCGGAGAATGTTCCAAGTATTTCAGCCCAGGCGGGCCAGCAGCCACCCCGAACCACCAGAACACTTCAGAAAAAAGATGAAGATGAGAATCCTCTGTTCGCATTGTGAACTTTGAACTTTAGTGCTTTCCCCCATGACCTTATCATTTCTTTTCAATGTACAAAAAGTATTTTTGTGTTATATGTATAAATGGTTATTACATTGTTGTGTCGTATAGTTCCACCCAAGATGTCCTATATGACGCAAAGTGTTAATTGTTAGTCTATTTTTTAAGTGAGAATATTCTTGGCAATCTACACTAGAGCATTTATGTCTGGTCTTACTTAGTCTTAGCATGGTCGATCCATGACAGATGAACTATCAATCAGTCTAAGTATGGTCGACCCATGGCAGACGAACTATCAGTCTTAGATTTTATTTTCAATTATGCAAAGTGGGGTATTTATGCTTGATCTTAAGTTGCATTGATTTTTATCCTCAGAAATTGTTTGTGGGAGTACATTTGTGATGAAGTCTAGAACCCGATACTCAGAAATAAAAAGCTAAGAAATGCTCTTGCTGTGCATGATTGGTCTGGGCAATTAAAGAGAAATTTTTCATTTAAAATAGTAGAGGAGACGTTGAAATTTAAAAAATGCAAAGCGTAAGTTGAAATCTTTTATTTGAATTGAATAATTCCAATGAACATTTTCAAATCTCACTGATAGACTACAGCAAATGGTTGCAAGGTTTATCAATTCACAAGACTACACAACAAACGAGACTGCAATAAAATAAGGATATCGATAAAGTTAAATAGGAATGTTTGTTACTTAAAATTATCCTGAATGTAATAGCTATTAACTTACAGAAATAATGTTTCCTTTTCCAGTGTCAGAATTATGACCTCCCTTTCCATGATTACATGTCTAACCTCCCTTTTCAATGTTACAGAAATAACCATGTAATAATTATTTGCAAAATACATGCAAAAAAATGTGCCCCTATTTTTCAGGGGGGCAGTGCCACAAAATTCACCAATAAATTTAGATGTGCGGGAAACATGAATGCTAGCCAACTGGCCTGGCTGGGTTTTACATTTATTGTGTTTTGACTTTTCCCTTGTTTAAAAAAAATTACAAAACCAAAAACAGAAGCTTCTTTCAAATACTTCTGTTGACGCTGCTTTCCCTTGTGTTCTACTATTGTTGTCATTTATTGTGGGACACCTGACAATAGTATGATGAATTGGCTGCTACAATGGTATGTGTCAATGACGGGGAAGACTGACAAGATTTTTACTATACTGGGTATCTCTGAAGATATTCACCTAATGCTAATCTAGCTTAGAGTTCCATTGCTTGCTACTAAATCATGGATGTTTATTTTTTTTTTAGTTTAAATCTAGGCCAGAAACTCTGATGCATTTCAAATGTATAAATATTCACTACGGAGCTGTATTTGGCTCATGTACGGAAGTTTAGCTAAATTTTGCTGGGTGATCATATAATAATATAAAATTAAAAGTTTCAGTTTAGAGGCTGCTTTTAAATATTGACAGTCCCCAACATGGTTGAATAATTAGATTACTTGTTATAATAATTGTAAATATGATTGAACTAACAGGTTCCCCCAATATGATTGAGCTAACAGGTTCCCCCAATATGATTGAGCTAACAGGTTCCCCCAATGTGATTGAGCTAACAGGTTCCCCCAATGTGATTGTGCTATCAGGTTTTTTTTTACTGTATGTGCCACTCATTAAATAATTTGTTTTAATGAGGGGGTCCCCTAGACATCTTTGAATGACAAGATGAGTAGCTTTATTTAAGTTAAATTTTAACTGATAAACCGACACTGGCACTACTTGAAGCAGTGCTGTTGATCTTTAATCTGTAAATGAATTTTTAATAAAGGCGTGGTGCCTTAGCCTTGGACTTCACCAAACGGTACCGAATCTTAAATGTTCAAGTTTAGACTTGTCATTGTAGGTGGTCTCAGAATGTTGTTACTCAAGCAGATCATGATATTGGTCATGCATGTTAGTCAATCTAAAATTCTTAGCATTTCACACGAATTGAAGTTAAATGAATACCTGTGCATGCATGCTTGACTCCAGGGATGCTTTGGTTTCTAATGCTAGTTTAGTTAGTAGCTTGCTTGTTTATATCTTTTGTATTTCATCACTTGTTTTATTGGTCCCCCTGTTTATGCAAGTTTATTGGAACGAATGGAGAGTTAAAATGCTGCGGTGCAGATGATTTTATTCTAAACCAAAGTTATAGCTTATTAGCTGCTTTTAAAAATGACATTTCTCTTTGTATGCCACCATCCACTAGATTTTGCACAAAGAAGGTATATATAGCCTCCCTGGTACTCAAGTCTTGGAAATGACTTTAAGTAACAGAGCTGAAACATTAAATTTAAAACCTGTTTTTGTGTTTCAGTAATTTTATTTTAGAATTTTGTAAAAATTGTGATATTTGTTGTTATTAAGCTGTGACTGTTTGAAGTAGGATATGTGACAGCTGTATCACAAAGGTAATTATATTCACTGTCATACTTGCCTTGTTGTATTTTCAGCCTGAGTAAAAATGTTCTCTATTTTAAATAGTAATTAGATTTTGACTTCCTGTTAAAATTAATAGCTGCCTTTCTTGAATGCCAGATTGATACCAGTTTTATCATTTATAATGAAACACTCATTTATTTGAAGCCCCAGCTTAAAACCTGAACTATTGTTTTGTCAAGGAATGGCCACAAGACAATTTGTTAACAATTTTGATATGAATATTGCTGTTGTAGATTTGTTTAGAGCCATTGTTTCAGGGGGGGGGGGTGCATTGGTGTAATGAAGAAGAAAACTTCTAAATGTTTCCCACTAAGTGTCTTTAGATCTTTAAATATCCAAGTACAAAATAATCTGTTATTTAAATTATAATTTGGTCTACCCGGTATTTGTATATTTATATGTGAATTTGTACCAGTCAAAGGCACGGAATTTTTTTTCTTTAATTGTGAAATTTAAACCAAGTCGGATTAAAAAGGAGTACAATGTAAACCAGGAGAGGATGGCATGAAATTCATTTGATTATGGCGGGCCACTTGATAATTTTCTAAGAATGTAGTTTTTTTAATTGAAAATCAATAATAATAGTAAAATGATAACTAACAGTGTTAGTAACAGATCATTCTAGACAATAAATGGATTTTAAAAAAAAAATAATTGAAAATACTTAAAAGGACATAACAGATTGCATCTGAAAACTAGGTACTAGTTAAAATTGAAAATTGTGAAAACATTAACCCAGTTCTCGGAAGGTCTTGCAAGCCACATTAAATGTTTCTGCCGAGTCATGTGGCCAGTAGGTTGCCCACCTATGATTTAAAATTTAAATCTTTGCTGTTTTTTATATAGAGCTACACTTAGAAAAATGATAAAATAAATTAAGTAGGCATTTTACATTTCCTTATCTATAGCTGTGAACAAGCGCACATTTAAACACCGGTAACCTATTGGGCATTATGTGTCAAAAGAGCTTAAAAGTGTGACAAGTAGAAAGGTAAAAATTTATTTAAGGCATTTTATAATAATTTCCCTTTTAGTTTACAAAATGGCCTAACCTTATTTTTGTATTCAACTATACAAGGCTACATCTGTTATTTTATTAAATAATGTGCAGTTGGAGGTTTTGAAATGGGCTTGAAGTTTTAGCAGATAAGATTTATAATGATGGAATTTTGAGCAATTCTTTTGGTGGGCAGGGAGAGATAGCTGGCAGGTCAACAGGTGCTCTGTACCCTGGTCAAGGTCATCAGGTGCTCTGTACCCATCAGTCATTTGTCTAAGAGGCAGATTAGCACATTGTTTTAACTAACCGCATTGAGTGCATGAGCCTAATTTTTAATTGTAACAACTTGGCTAGGTTTGCTTTGCCAGGTTTGGTAGCTTCATTGACAATTGAGGGAAATTTGGTCATGAAATTATTGAAATGCAATAACTTTTAGACATGCTATTAAACATGCACTGTTATGGTCCGCTTGCTTTTAAAAAACATTTAAATCTTAACATGATGAAAATTATCAGTATTTTTTTTTCTTGAAGAGTCTGATTTCTTAACTTAGTAACAGAATTGTTAAAATGCAGGATAAGATGGTTGCTAATTATCAACTGGTTTCTACGTATTATAAAAAATGAGTTACAAGAAATCAATTGATCTGAAGAAATCAATTAATCTGATCACAGCTGCATTGACTAGGCATTTATAGAAAACATATATTGTATAAATATATTCATGAATTTAAAATTTCATTCCTGTTTGCATCAGTTACCATAAGAAGTATATTTATTATTTATTATATATTAATAATATTATTCAACACTTTTACTATTACCAAGATGCAAAGAATTTTTTTTTCTGTTATTTTACTACCAAGAAATGAAGAGATGAACTGATATAATTTCTGTGAATACATGTACCATTGATTGTGACGACTATAGATGTCAATCTATTGATCTCTGCACTAGTTGCAGGTTAATAAAACTAAAGACATCACTGTGACAATACTTGATTATCATTCACAATATCTGAATTCCTCTTTTTGTTGTTACACAGTTCATTAAAATATTGACTAACTTCGTCTTTTCTTGTTTACTAATATTTCCTCATCGTAAGTTTATTTTGATGGAAATCTTTCAAACTCAAGTGATATTCTGGATGTTGGAAGTTATGTGTTCTGGCCGACACCCCTGAAAACATGAAGAGGTCTTGTATGTTCAGGGAGGCTGTTATATTTTCCCTCTTCTGAAAGGCATACATGAACTATAATAATAATAAGGGGTCTTATATAGCGCGGTACCCCAGCCTAGGCCTGGGCTCACCGCGCTGTACTTAAAAATTTTATCAAGAGAGACATAATCATGACATTAAAATAAAATACATTTATGAAATAAAGAACAGCAATGTATATTCACCCACCCCACAAACACAATTTTTTAAATGTACTTTTAATATATCTTTGGCATAAATATTTAATTCAGTTTTTCATGGTTGTAAGTAGTGAATGTTTTACTAAGGCTAGAATTAATTGAAAATCCAATTGAAATATAAACAAAAACTATTTCTTGACATCTCAGGATTACCCTTTCTTGTGGGGGAAAAGTAATAAATAAAGAAGTAAGAAGTTACCAAAGGGTTTGCTTTACAAATGAATACTTGGTAGTAATTAGTAGCATTTCTATTAGACTGTCCAAAATATTAATTGGGACAGATTTCAATATTATATCTAACTATTACTTCCCTGTAATTAAAAAAAAATGCATGTTTTTTTTATTTACCCCATTTATTGACCTGCTAGAGGTAATGCAATTATTTTAGAGACAAATAATATTGTATGTCTAAATTTCTAAAAATAAAATCATAGCCAAGGTTTTCCTTGTTCAGCAGTTTGGCAACAGAAAAATATTTCATCCCTGTACCTCCATGTCTTAAACTTAAATAAAAATATACAACTGACCACCCGGATGCAGACAAACTAGAGCAAATAATAATTTGTGTTGTTGAATAGGATGAATCATTGATTTCTTAGCTACAGCCACAGGTATAAAACAAATATAATTTAGAAATCTGAAGAAATGAGGAGAACATTGTAAAACATGATATGAAAATAATAAGATATTGGATTTGGCTATCATTGATCATACAAATTAATATGGTTGTGTTTAAACTACAGCACCTAGCACATACATGAAAATGACAATATTATTATTGGAATTATTTATTTGAAGACATTACAGTATGGCATCTGCTTTCCAATATGGCTTCTGTTTTATAATTTGGAATAAGGAAACTCATTGGATTTTCATGAATTTTAATAACTAAAATGTGCTGTGTCTTAATACACAAGCACAGCTTTAGATATCTAATACATCAATGCTCATTTTGTAAAGAGCAAATGAATAATTGAGTAAACAGAGTCACCAAATGGTTTACTGAGAAAGCTTAAATTGCAAGTCAACTAATTCAGTGCGATCTCTGGCCAAACTGCTTTAAGTGGCTCATTATTTTCAATGAAACAATAAGTTACCACTTCATGAATCCAACCCCTGCAATACTGGTGTGGCAAATGACTACTTAACTCTACTCATAGAGCACATACATTAAGTCATCGAAGCACTGGTAAGGGGGGGTAACTTTTTTAACATGAAAGTAGGATTTCAAAAAATGCTTCGAAAATTTACTTTTTAACAATACATAATTTAATGAAAAAATTAAGATTTACATTGAATAAATACAACATAGCATCATTGAAATTCTTTTTGCAGTCCAGTAGAATGATCGAAATTTAGTCAGTCCGTCATTTGAATTAGTCAATTTGTCATTTGAAACAGTCTTTCATTTGAAGAACACAGGGACAGCTCATGCCAATTATTAAGTCCAACACAATTAGTCCATGCCTATCAAGTCACATGCTATCAGTCCATATCAGTTAAGTCCTACAAAATCAGTCCTTGCCTATCAAGTCACATGCCATCAGTCCATATCAGTTAAGTCCCATACAGCTATCCATAGTTTTATCATTAGAGAAATGCTACAAATGCTGTACAATTGTCTCCACCTGACTGCTCACTTGAGCAAAAAAAGGTAATGTTGTAAGTAGGGACTAGAGCTGCTTGCATTCGAACAAATCAATTCAACATTTATTGACTCAACTAAAACAGTATCAACACATAACATTCAATTCAATTTAGAAAATTCAGACACACAACCATCATTTCCAGTGTTGCAGAGACCTGGAGTTGGTTAGAGTCCATGATTATAATAATAACTTCATCTCCGCATTTGTAAAGAGCAACATCCTTTTGACATCCTTGCCAGTATTGAAGGTTTGAAGCCTTTTCAGCATGTAGCAAATTTGATTCCCTTTGGCATTAATGATCCCATTTTATTAACTAAGATCAAACTAGCTGGCAATGTTTTACTTAAAAAATACTTTTTCATTCATATCGATTTTCAAAACTATAACTTAGCATGTCAACTTGTGGTGAGTGAGTACAAGAACGTAATGTCAACAGTTCAGTCTGGGTTCAAACACTTTTTGTCAAAAACAAAACATTTCCCTAAAGATTGTTTTTTGATGTCATCATTCACCTCGGTTTGACAAGATAATGGTTTACTTTCTTCTGTCATCAATCACAACACTGTCACCATCTGTCATGTCAGTTTGACAAGATAATGGTTTACTTTCTTCTGTCATCAATCACAACACTGTCACCTTCTGTCACATCAGTTTGACTGGATAATTGATTACTTTCTTCTGTCATCAATGACAACACTGTCACTTTCTGACAGCTCAACATGGTTGCAAATCTGGAAAAGACAAGGATCATTGCATTTGAATTTAAAATACCCAAATATGATCTTCTATACATGTTAATACATGTGACAGGCCAGTCGAATGTACATTACAGTTCATGTAACAGACTTCTTAGTGATCTAGACAAAAAATGTAAACTGACAGTAGATTTGCCTGACCTAGACCAAAAGTGTAAACTGACAGTAGATTTTCATGACCTAGACCAATGACAACTGACTTTACCTCAAACAAAGGTGGGTCTTTACTGTGTGGATGGAAGCCTTTCTGTTGACAGGAACCTATGACATCTAATCCATGGTCCGTTAACTTGAAAATACCACTTCTGAAAATATTTAACGTCTCTATTATTTATTGACGGGATTTTTCAAGCAAGATGAGATTAGTTCTAAATACAAATCATAAAGAATCTCTAATGTTATGTCAATAGATGCTTGAATTTCAGCTTATTTTCTTGCCATTTTTTGAAGTTTCAAGATGGGGGTGGGGGGGGGGTGAGATGACATCACCATTTAATCCCACGTAGTCTGCCAACATTACCATTTAATCCCAAGTAGTTTGCCAACATCATGAAAGGATCAAAAATGTAATTCAAAATTATAGTTTTAGAATAACTGCATCTTTATCATTGACTGCAGACTTTTGTCGTTAGCCTGGATTGCAGACATTTGCCAAGGTTTTACGTTGTATGTTTAAGGTTTTCCACTAATGTGTTCAGTAAAAAATACAACGGAATAAATGTTGAGGTAGTGAAATAAAAGCCAAAACAATGTTTAAATAGTTCTAGTTAAAAAAAAGTCTTACTCTTGAAACTTTGGTGAACAGACAATAGCGATTGCTTCTGGCATCATTTTCTGCCATGGAAAGTGAGAGTGTAGATCAACACTGGACAAAAAAGCTGTCTGTGTTGGGTGTGTCTGTCATAGTGAAAAAAGTATACTTTAAATATCTACTTAATTATAAACCACTCCACCCCCACCCACTCACCCACAAATTTACCTCATACTTAAAAACTTTATTGGTTAAATCAGAAAACCTTCTAGTTATTAAATGTGCTGGAATTTTAATGGCTACCAATTTCCCTTGTTTTTTATTGATAAAGGAATCACATCTCATGAAACTTCTATTTTTATAAATGCATGTGCTATGTGTTTACATGAATCCATCCCAGTGTGATCAGATTGTGCTCATCCTGATAGTAAATCAGCTCTTCTTCGTTTTCCATATCACAGCTGTCATGGCCGCCCTTTTGTTGGGGAATGAACAAATTGGTCACTCGGAACTTGCCCTGAGACTAGGACAAATTTCAAAACAAATATTTCAACATTTTTTGTTTTCAATAAAACTTTACCAGTTGTTACCATAATTCTAAGCGTTTCAGAGGATCTCAACCCCTTGATCAGGTGTGGACCATATTATAAATATCTGCTAAGAAAATATTTTGTGTTTTAAAAATTAATTTTTATCATGTATTATTGTGAATTTTCTGACAACTTAAATCACAATCAAAACGATATAATGTAATAATATATTATAATAATTGAATCATAAAGTATAATAATCTTATCATAAAGTATAATAGTCTTATCCTAAAATATATCTTTAAGATAGAAAAATTTTTTTTTTTTAAATAATGCAAACAAATGTACGGCATTGACCACACAAAATTACAGTCTATTACCATAAATAAGGCAAACACAATCCAACAAGCACCATAATTTTGGTCAAAAAAAGCGTACATATTTCTGACGTATAAAAAATATTCTGAATTCATGGGTGCCCGCAGGGGAGGGCAAGGGGGGGCACTTGCCCCCCCCCCCCTGGATTGATTGGATTAAAAAAATTTTAGACCAAAATAGACAAAAAAATTATTAAAGTAAAGAGAAAATAAAGAAAAAGTAACTAAGCTGATGTCCTGTCTGTTCGTTGACCATACAAATACGCTACAGTAAATTAAAACTACATTAAAACATTATTAAAACTTTTTTGCTCCCCCCTAGAAAGTTTTCTGCGGGCGCCCATGTCTGAAGTATGAACATATAATGACAAATGAACACATACTGACTTATGATCATATTCTGACTAATTATTTTGTTTTAACATACCATTTTCCCACATAATATTCCCATGGTCTCCGCTTCCACAGCTGTGTTCTTCTCTGCAGCAGCTAGAAATTTGCCCATTAGCACAGAGGGTACAATGATATTCCTGAGCTGTCCATCGGTCAGACCTCCATACTCCCCTAAACTCAAGTGATGATCAATGGAAGGTTTTTTACTGCGATCCACAGCAGGAACTATCGGTTTGTTGGTTGAAATACTAAAATGAATCAAATAAAAGTCCAAGAAATTAGTGTTCTTTTAATGACATGATTGGAACAACAGTTAAAGTCATGATTGGATCAACAGTTAAAGTCATGATTGGAGCAACAGTTAAAGTCATGATTGGAGCAACAGTTAAAGTCATGATTGGAGCAACTGTTAAAGTCATGATTGGAGCAACAGCTAAAGTCATGATTGGAGCAACAGTTAAAGTCATGATTGGAGCAACAGTTAAAGTCATGATTGGAGCAACAGTTAATGTCATGATTGGAGCAACAGTTAAAGTCATGATTGGAGCAATAGTTAAAGTCATGATTGGAGCAACTGTTAAAGTCATGATTGGAGCAACAGTTAAAATCATGATTGGAGCAACTGTTAAAGTCATGATTGGAGCAACTGTTAAAGTCATGATTGGAGCAACTGTTAAAGGCATGATTGGAGCAACCGTTAAAGTCATGATTAGAGCAACTGTTAAAGTCATGATTGAAGCAACTGTTAAACTCATGATTGAAGCAACAGTTAAAGTCATGATTGAAGCAACAGTTAAAGTCATGATTGGAGCAACAGTTAAAGGCATGATTGAAGCAACAGTTAAAGTCATGATTGGAGAAACTGTTAAAGTCATGATTGAAGCAACAGTTAAAGTCATGATTGAAGCAACTGTTAAAGTCATGATTGAAGCAACTGTTAAAGTCATGATTGAAGCAACATGACCTTGCATACTGACACTCATTACCTTGCATACTGACACTCATTACCTGGCATATTGACACTAATTACCTGGCATACTGACACTCATTACCTGGCATACTGTATACAAGATTGTTGGTTGAATACACTGTACTCTATACAATATAAAACAATGATATTCAAAGCTCAAGCGACACTGTTACAATCTTAAAATTTGCTGATGATACCACCATTGTTGGCTTAATATCTGAAGGAGAAGGCCTATACCGTAACTTAGTAACAAGCTTTATCAATTGGTGTGACGAAAATTTTCTCCAGTTGAATGTCTCAAAAACAAAAGAAATGGTTGTTGATTTCAGGAGGGGGAAACACCTGATTACAGATCTCAACGTAAAAAATCAAAATGTGGAGAAAGTGGAGGCGTACAAGTACTTAGGTGTCACAATTAATAATAAGCTAACATGGCATAAGCACGGCCAAATTGCTGTATAAGAAATTCAACCAAAGACTGTTCTATCTAAAAAAAACTGAACAATTTCGGCGTAAACAAGCAAGTCGTTAACTTATTCTACAGTGCAACAATTGGAAGCCTACTTAATTCCAGTATTGCCTGCTGGTGTGGGAATTCAACGTCGGATATTAAACACCGCATAAACCGACTAATCAAGAAAGCGAGGAACAGACACAAACTAAACATCATTCACTGGAAGAACTATTTGAAGAAAGATGTGTTTGTAAAACTAAACACATTTTGGATGATACATCCCACCCTCTTCATCACAGATACTTAGGATCGGGTCGTTCGGGACGAATTCTTTCCATCAGGGCGAGGACGGAAAGATATAAAAATTCTTTTGTTCCCCCATCTGTACGAATTTACCGGCATGCTTCCTCTGAAGTCTCACATCTTAATGAGAACTAATAAGTCCCCGATTAGGCTAAGAGAACTCACCGAATGGCTGTTTGAAATAATTTATTATAAATGTCTTGTGTTCAAATTGTTTTATTTATGTGCTGAAGATGTATAATCATAAAACATTTCCATTTGTTTGGATCAATAAAAGAATCTTATCTCATCTTATCTTATCTTATCCTGACACTTATCAAGGTGTTTCATTAACCTACTTTGCATTTTCGCCTTCATTGATCACGAGTTTCTTTTTCAGATCCCTGTCTGGGATTTGTGGAGGATTTTTGCTGATGTCACTTAGGAACTGGGAGTACGAAGGGGGTGGGGGTAAGCTGGAAGCTTCTCCATCTTGGCTGACCACTTGACCACCTGACCCATCACTGCCAGGAGCAGATGTGTCTGCACCAATTCCTTGAGACACCGCCTCACTGTACTTGTCATCTACAGCTCCTATGTCAAGACCTGAATGGGAAACAATTTGTTAAAGTAAATAAGATGACGTTACAAAATTGAACAAAGAAATGGACATGATTGAGTTAATTATATAAATGTTTGCCTGATGGGAAACAGTAACAGCGGCGTGGCTAGCAAAGGAGACAACAAAAACATTGTGCTGCCCCCCACCCACTACACACATAAATTGACAGTTGGTCAAAACTCAAAAACCAAAATAAAATCTCATTAAATTCACTTTGACTAAATCAGATAAGAAATCCAACTAAAAAACCTTCATTTTTCTGTCTCTCTTTCATCTTCTCCTCTTCTTGCTTTCTCAGTTGCCAATATTTCTCCTCCTGCTCGCTCCTGACTTCAGCTTCCTCTTCTTCCTGTAATTTTTTGGCCATCTCTGCATCTTGTCTTTCTTGTTGCTCCTTGGCTTTCCTCCTTTCTTCTTCAGCAATCGCTCTTTGTTCTTCTAGTTGTCTCTGATCAATTTAATAATATTAAAAATTTTAATTCATGCTTCGTGCAATTTATTTAAGAGATTACCATGGAACAGCAAAATGAAATGGACATAATTTCTCATTAGCTTTTTGGCAATATTTAATCAACATTATCAGGGGTCAACATTATCAGTGGCCAACATTATCAGGGGTCAACGTTACCAGGGTCAACATTATCAGGGGTCAACATTATCAGGGGTCAAAATGTTATCAATAGTTGTTGGGTTATTCAGAACTGATTTGTGTATTGGCATCTTGGAAAACAAAATTTGGCTTTAAGCCTAAAAAGATTTTCTTAAAGATGTTTAAAACATTAAAAGAGACTTTAACATAATCATAGCCCAACCCAATGTAACAGTAACATCATCATAGCCCAAACCAATGTAAAAGTAACATAATCATAGCCCAACCCAATGTAAAAGTAACATAATCATAGCCCAACTCAATGGAACAGTAACATCATCATAGCCCAACCCATTGTAACAGTAACATAATCATAGCCCAGCCCAATGTAACAGCAACATAATCATAGCCCAGCTCAAGGTACCAATAACATAATCACATACATATTCAAGGAAGGCATAGATATAAATCCCTACCTGTTCCTCTATAAACAATTTTTCTTCTTCAACATATCTTTTCTTCAACTGTGATTTGATTTCTTCTGCCAATGGAAAAACCTTTTTGACTTTCTGAAAATAAATTTCTAAGAGTAAATATATTTTGTCTCTCATAGCTACTCTTAAAATACCTTTGACCTCTACCCTTCAAATGCCAACATTATTTTTTACACATAGATTTTGTTGGGACTTTAAAAAAAGCCTTTGATGAATATGAATGGTAGAATAACAGTACTAAAAGACCATTTTTGGGATGATGTTTAAGACTGCATCGTTTCATTGCCAATAACCTAGGCAATACTGCCTAAGAAAATTCAGTACTGGATAAGCTAAGAATAAGATAAAATTCATTTTTTATCCAAATAAATGGAAACGCTTTTTATTACGTTGTACATATAAATTATTTTAAGCAAGACAACGTTTTACAATTAGAAAAATTTAAACACAAGACATCTAAATTATTTCTAAAATAAAAAAAAATTAGCCTGCTTAATGATGATAATGACTAAGTGATTAGTTAGATTTGGTAACCTCTAGGGGACCACAATGGTAAATTCTTACAGAACAGAGACTAATGAAAATTGACTTTGTTTTTATCATAAAATATGTTAACTATTTTAATTGTAAATGAAACACACATACACACAGGGGCAAATCTAGGGGGGTTTAAAAGGGGTTTATATATTATAGATAAATATATAAACAGTTTGAGTGTTTGTGTTAGTAGGGTACACTTTTGATGGTTCGCCCCACGCAGCATTTAGTCATATTCCTCTTGCTGTTCTCAAGGATACTTCTTTGCAGCTAAGTGTTTTTAAAATTTATTATTGTTTTTACTGTTGTTTGTTTGCCGAAGAAAGCTTCTTGCCAACACGTCCCTTGTTTTGTTGTTGCATTTGGGGGGAGGGGAGGAAGGTTTCCCCATACTTTTTTTTAGCTCATTTCCTAGCATTTAGTCAAGGTATGGCACAGTTTACAAGCTATACAGTCTAGAAAACACATGTGCGCAGAATATATTTAAGGCTCGAAGTATCCATGTAATATCAAGATATATATTCAAAACCAACATTATCTTTTTGTGATGTGCAAGCATGGAAATGGGAACTGGAACAATACATATATTGGTATGATGGAAATTCAAGGGTTAAAGAATATTTTACAACATATTTTAGAAATTCTTTTGAATAAACATTTCAGGTTTCTTACATTTAAATGCACTTACTCTCTTAAAGTCGGCAAGCTCCTCTGGTGGTGCATTTCTGTAGTCTTGATGTAAAGGCAGCTTCTCCAAAAACAAACTGTCTTAATTATAATAAGCATTGGTTAATCATTAAAACAGTTTCTGATCACAATCCTAGAAATTTTCAAAAGCAATTTCCCTAACTACTGGTACCTCACTAAATATTTTCCCAATTCCAATTAAAGAAATTAATTTCAGTTCACTATTTTATACTTACGTTATAAATTTATAATATAAAATAAATGCACTCTCTAATTGTCCTTCATCACAAAACATGTTAGCCATTCTCAACATTTCTCGTCCAGATCTGAAGTATAATTTCACAGCTAGTGTTTTATCCACTTCAACTTTGGATCCATACTCTATGAGGACTTTAATTCTTTGACTCGGGTCACTGCGTGACGAGCTGAGTGAAGCTTGTCTAGGTAATTTTGTTGTCATTTTTCTTAAATATGTTATAAAAATTTAATTAAAACATTATAAATATATTACTGTTTATTGATAAATTACACTATTTAAAATTAACATATTTATAATATGTTGATTTGTGAATATAATTTTTTTTTTAAATTTATATTCACAAAGACTGAAACATTTTCAGGATTATACTTATACAATGATATTTGGAACTTCTTAAGTCTTAAAATTTTTAATAATTTTTATTAGGCCTATTTTATAAATACATTTAACAAACATTTTTATGCAGACATTTACATGAAAAAAACATAAAAGCCACATTTATTGCCTCTTTGTTCTTTCGAATTTGAAGGTTATCAATTTCAAAATATTATTAACAAAGCTTAAAATGTCTACTGAATTGTTCATTAAATGAGGCATTCACTATCTGAGGTTCCACTGTATTGTTAGATTAATATCAGGTTAATGAGCTGCTAATGAAAACCTGTATATTGTATGAAGTATGTGCTTAAATAAATGTGTATTATTGCAAAGCGTAAGTATAAAAATTAAAGATATTTTGATCACTGTTTGCTGTACAGTAATCTGTGTATGTATTCCTCATTTGTAAGAGTAGACTATTCAGTCAGACTATTACTGAAATTCTGTCAATCACCATCACCATTATTATTGAATATTATTGATTTTGGGTAGTATTGATCTGGCTATTAATTGATTATTATAACTATTACTATATGTTACTAAAAATGATTATTGAACAAGTATTAGTATTAGTATTGACTATTTACTATTTAAGGTAGACCAGGTAGCCAGTAGTGTTGAGTTTGATTAAAGAATGAAGAATGTCATAGAAAATAATGAATGTGACCCTTAATAACTTAATATGATACTGATATGCCTTTTCATTTACTATAATTATAATTTAAATTAATATTTCAAATTTGTCTACGAGTATGAGTATGGGCTATGATGAATTATTATTTAGACTAAAAAGTATGACTCAGTACAAGTAAGAGGAGTACTGTTTGAATGGCAAAGCTGCAGCTAAGAGTAAGACACTACTCACTCTGCCCTGACTATGAGTTGATATAATTATAATAAATAATATTTTAATTTTAGTAATTACTAAGTAGTAAGTGCGAGTCTTACTCAATTCACAATCTATTACTATTATATATTTATTTATAATTTTTATTTATTTAATATTTAATTATTAATATATAAGGCCCTAAATAATAGAAGTAAATTATAGTTTTACTATTAAATATTTAAAACTAGATTCACTAGATTGTGATTGTGACTGTGAGTGTGATGAGGGTGAGTCATCAACGACAACAACATTGTTCAATCATTCACATTCACTGTCAATAACAATGTAACAATGACAATGACAATAACTAATAAATAACTAATTAATAACTATTGACAATTGACTATTAATATTATTAAACTATTATAATAAAATAGTCTAAATCAGTGAATTCAATGATACTAAATTCACTAGAGACCATTATTTTGGATAATGCTGATTTAACTTCTTACTTAAAATTCCAAACAGACCCTGATGAAAAAAAGGGGTTTGTGTTGACTGTTGTCAGCCAATAATACGCTACCACTATATAAATAGAGCTTTTACTTTTAATCTTTGTTTTGTTTCAGTTCATTCGTTACTATTTTTAGTATTAAAATGTCAAACATAAGAGAGTTACACTAAAAGAGTAACTCCGTAAATAAAAAAAGAAAAAGTCATGTTACATTAGGGCAACTAGATGATCGGGGTAACTAAGGGTCGTGTTCCCTAATGTCAATGTCGTGGTGCCAGAGTGATTTCTGCATGCAGTGGCCAGTGTGGCAGAGCTAGAGGGTGTTCTGGATGTAGTGGCCAGTGTGGCAGAGCTATAGCGTTTTCTGCCTGTGGTGGACAGTGTGGCAGAGCTATAGTGTTTTCTGCCTATGGTGGACAGTGTGGCAGAGCTATAGTATTTTCTGCCTGTTGTGGGACAGTGTGGCAGAGCTATAGTGTTTTCTGCCAGTTGTGGGACAGTGTGGCAGAGCTATAGTGTTTTCTGCCTATGGTGGACAGTGTGGCAGAGCTATAGTATTTTCTGCCTGTTGTGTGACAGTGTGGCAGAGCTATAGTGTTTTCTGCCTGTGGTGGACAGTGTGGCAGAGCTATAGTATTTTCTGCCTGTTGTGGGGCAGTGTGGCAGAGCTATAGTGTTTGCTGCCTGTGGTGGACAGTGTGGCAGAGCTATAGTGTTTTCTGCCAGTTGTGGGACAGTGTGGCAGAGCTATAGTGTTTTCTGCCTGTGGTGGACAGTGTGGCAAAGCTATAAGATTTTCTGCCTGTGGTGGACAGTGTGACAAAGCTATAGTGTTTTCTGCCTGTGGTGGACAGTGTGGCAGAGCTAAAGTGTTTTATGCCAGTTGTGGTTCAGTGTGGTAGAGCTGTAAGGTTTTCTGCCCGTTGTGGACAGTGTGGCAAAGAAATAGGATGTAGCCCCGCCATTACTGCCAGCTTTGGGTAGCTAGGGGCTCTGCTGTCTGAAGTTGACAGTAACGGGGTGGCTAGGGATTGTGCCGTCTGAAGTTGACAGTAACGGGCCAGCTAGGGATTGTGCTGTCTGAAGTTGACAGAAACGGGGTGGCTAGGAATTGTGCCGTCTGAAGTTGACAGAAACGGGGTAGCTAAGGATTGTACTATCTGAAGTTGACAGTAACGGGTCAGCTAGGGATTGTGCTTTCTGAAGTTGACAGTAACGGGGTGGCTAGTGTTTGTGCTGTCTGAAGTTGACAGTAACGGGGTGGCTAGGGATGGTGCTGTCTGAAGTTGACAGTAACGGGGTGGCTAGGGATGGTGCTGTCATAAGTTGACAGCAACGGGGTGGCTAGGGATGGTGCTGTCTGAAGTTGACAGTGACGGGGTGGCTAGGGATTGTGCTGTCTGAAGTTGACAGTAACGGGTGATTAGGGATTGTGCTGTCTGAAGTTGACAGAAACGGGGTAGCAAGGGATTGTGCTGTCTGAAGTTGACAGTAACGGGGTAGCTAAGGATTGTGCTGTCTGAAGTTGACAGAAACGGGGTAGCTAGGGATGGTGCTGTCTGAAGTTGACAGTAACGGGTCAGCTAGGGATTGTGCTGTCTGAAGTTGACAGTAACGGGGTGGCTAGGGATGGTGCTGTCTGAAGTTGACAGTAACGGGTCAGCTAGGGATTGTGCTGTCTGAAGTTGACAGTAACGGGTCAGCTAGGGATTGTGCTGTCTGAAGTTGACAGTAACGGGGTGGCTAGGGATGGTGCTGTCTGAAGTTGACAGTAACGGGTCAGCTAGAAATTGTGCTGTCTGAAGTTGATAGTAACGGGTGGTTAGGGATTGTGCTGTCTGAAGTTGACAGCAACGGGGTAGCTAGGGATTGTGCTGTCTGAAGTTGACAGAAACGGGTCAGCTAGGGATGGTGCTGTCTGAAGTTTACAGTAACGGGGTGGCTAGGGATTGTGCTGTCTGAAGTTGACAGTAACGGGTCAGCTAGGGATTGTGCTGTCTGAAGTTGACAGTAACGGGGTAGCTAGGGATTGTGCTGTCTGAAGTTGACAGTAACGGGGTGGCTAGGGATTGTGCTGTCTAAAGTTGACAGTAACGGGTCAGCTAGGGATTGTGCTGTCTGAAGTTGACAGAAACGGGGTAGCTAGGGATGGTGCTGTCTGAAGTTTACAGTAACGGGGTGGCTAGGGATGGTGCTGTCTGAAGTTGACAGTAACGGGGTAGCTAGCTTATTGCCACGGCTTGTGCTGCCTGTAAGGAAGGTGTTTGGTGCAAAGGTCTGGCTTCTGCATGGGGCTGCCGGACTAGAGAAGTTGGTCACAGCCTAAAGCGAAAGAACCTGGCGTGTTCCGCCGTAGACCGACAGACTCGTTGAAAGAGGGGCTCAGACGACGCAAACCCTGAGTCCAATGGGATGGAAGCAAACAGTTCAGACTCTGTGGCACATTTGCAAGCAGATTTTCTTTCAGCTATATCTCCGTGGGAGGGGGCACTGCCCCCCTGAGGAAAGCCAAGTGCCCCCCCCCCC